ACAGTCACCACTATTTGTTCTTATTCTGTCAACCAGAAAAAAAAATATTATTTAAAGGAGTGGAAGGAAAGGCAGATGGCACCTTGTCAAAATGTTCTATATATCATAGTTATAAACATTTAAATAATTCATTATTTCTATTTCAATATAACAGACTTTTGAAATATATTTTTCTGTCTTCTCTCTTGTGCTTTTGCTTAGATGAAATGTCAAGATAAAGCCAAGAAAAATAACTCTCCTGTTAAGTCCCTGTCCGGTATTTAAACAGAAAAACTTTCAGGTGATCAAGAAGTAAATTTCATGTTATCATAAGTTCTTAGCATCAGATATATGACAGGCCCAGGTATTTTAAAAGAAAAACCAAAGTATACAAGGGTCTAAAAAATGTCCATTGTAGGAATTGTGAGAACCTTAATAAATATAACAAATCTTCAAAACACAGGGCTTAGAAATAATTAGAATTTGTTCATGCATTACAAAGCACTGAGTGGAATTACATTAAAATCAATGTCAACTAGAATGTAAGCTCCATGAAGGCAAGGAGTTTGTTTGCTGCTGAATCTACACAACCTTAACATTAATTAGCACTTTGTGGATTTGCTCAGTCTTATTTGTTAAATGGATCAAAATGTACACTATTTAAAAATTGCATGTGGAAGAGAAAACAAGCAATGGAAGATGAACTTGAGAACCTACTCACTAAAAATTTAGTGAAAGGACTATATAGCAAATGTAAATTTCACTTTATTCTTGATACATTAATCCCTAAAATCTTTGCAGAGAACAGTCTCTTTGTTAATTACATTATCTAAAACAGCTTTAAAGCTGTTTCTACTTGTAATTTATTCATTTCCTTTTATGGATAGTTAAATGTTCAATGTCTATCCATATTACCAGACTTAATGCTAGGAGGGTAAGGACAGAATTTTGTTCTCTCCCATAGGCACATAGGTGAAAGAACGAATGAATGAATGAATGATAAAATAAAACATTATTAGAACTTACATTGCTTCCTTTTTTCCTTGGTGTTGATGGAGGATAAGAATAGAAAAACTGGAAAGGAGGCACCACGACATCAGAAACCTGGCTCACACAATGCCAAGAGCTGGAGGTTGGGGTAGAAGTGATTAACATAGCCTTTAACCCAACTACAGGGGTTAAATATCCTTAGGCGCCAAGGCACAGACCCAAGCAAAGTGTCAAACTGCTGTTAGTGTCTTAGGGTGCAGACCATAGGGAAAGATAGGGAGATTGAGGGCCACTGTAGAATCTCCAGTCCCTTTCAAACAGTTATCCAAAATCAACTGCAGAACAAAGCACTCCACGAAAGAGTGAGCCCCTCCCAAAGAGAAGATGACAATCTCTGCCTGGCCGGCAGCAGCAGTCCTTCTGTCCACTATGTCAAAGCAGATGCTTCATCTCACCAATTCTCTCTTCAGCTAATCAGTAAAAATATGGAATCTTGGTTAGTTTACCTCTCAGGAAATGAGAAATAAAGGAGGCTGGACAATAATACCTAAAGTTCTTTCCAATGCCCAGAATTATGATATATGTTTTATTTTTTGGTCTACTTTCTTTTGTCTTCACTGGAACTACCTTTTTCTAAGCATTTTCTTTTAACTTCTTGAATATGTGATAAAATGTAAATGCAAAGGCAACTTTGAATCACATTAACTAAATTAAGAGAGGCTTCCCTGGTGGCACAAGGGGTTAAGACGCAACCTATGAAGCTGTGGGCAGCCTCTGCAGCACAAGTTCCATCCTCTGCAGGCCAGGGAGCGACCCACATGGTGCAGCAGACCTCTCCTGACTCACCTGCTGCCCGCTACTCCCCTCAGCAGTGTATTTCAGTCAATCTGCCTGTTCTGTTCCCCACTCTGTCTCTGGTGAATCCTCTCACCCCGCCACACTTCTGGCCTGTACCCCAGCTCTTGTATGCATAAATAAATAAATCTTTAAAAAATAATAATAAAATAAAATCTGCACTATCATTTCAAAAATATTTTGTTTGCCTGATGTGTTCCTCTCATTAGCAGGGCTGGTAAAAAAAACTTAATATAATGTGCCTTCTAATAACAAACCCTGGATTGCAGCAACAATGCTTGCAAGGATGGCCCAAGCAGCTTACCCCATTTCTATTAGGAACATGTCATTTTCTGCGCCACCTTGTGGCCATAATCAACTACTACACCTTAAAGTTTCAGGTTTTTCCCAGCGCGGGTCAGACCTTCAAATATCCGCATTGCGGGAACCTGCCTCTACACAAACGTGCAGAAAATGGTGTCTGTCTTTGTAACCAGTGAAGAAAAAAAACACTTGCGCTTTTTTCTTCTTCTTCCCCCATTGCCTTTATTCCTTAATTCCTCACCTCGGGCCGTTCACCCACCGTCCTCTTAAGGTCATTCCCCATTCGCTCTCCCCAGCCATTGCATCCCCTTCCCCTTCCCCGCCCCCCATCCTCCTCCCTCCTCCCTCCTCCCTCCTCCCTCCTCCCTCCTCCCTCCGGCCCCCCAGCTAGCTCCTCCCCCCGCAAGCCCTGCCGCGAGGGCCCGCCCCCTCCCGCAGGCAACCAATGGCGGCACGGCCCCGCCCCCGCCCCCGCCCCTCCCACCGCCTCCGAGCAGCGAGCGGGGCTTGGGCCTCCGCCGCGGCCCCTGGACGCCCAGGTCTTCTTCTGGCGGCGGTGGGCGCACGCCCTGGGGGCCCGCGCCCCAACCTCGAGGGCGCCATGGACTCGCAGGGGCTGAAGGTGAGCGGTGGAGCCGGGATCTGGGTTTCTTTGGAGGGTGGCGAGCGGCCGGGGGGCGTGGAGAGAGCGCGGGCCGACTTCGCGAGGCCGTTACTACCCTGCCTGCCTCGCCGCCCCGGGGCGCCGAGTCCCAGCCTGGCCCCACGGCCTGTCGCCTGCATCAGCTGGTCACCTCCGTGGGCCCTGCGGTGGAGGCTTGAGACCCCGGGCAGCCCCTCCCCAGCGCGGTTTTCCAAATTGCCAATTGCCGTTAGTGTGCTTGTCTATCCTGTCTTGTTGGTTCTGCTTTTATATCCTGTTTGCTGCAAAAGCTTGGGTAGTGTAAGATGCGCACTGCACCGTTCTAGGTGCGATTTCTAAGGACTTAAAGCAAGTGAGGAGTTCGTCTCCTTCGTTGGAAAGTATGAGGGGCATGGGAAGGATGTATGGAAACTCTTCAAGACATGGACTTGAAAGTGGAGGAGTCTTTATTTTAGGGTGATGGCCTCTGTTTCTCTCTGATTCATCCATTTAGCAAATATTTAATGACGGCTCACATAAGAAATGATCTAAAGGTAAAGACAGGAGACTTGAAAATAAAAGTTTATTAGGAGACGATCTTTCTATTCGTTTATTCACTGATTCACTCATTCAAAAATATGGATAGAGGTCTCTCTGTGTGCCCACTTGAAGCTGGAGATAATGCTGAGAAGAACTGATAGCCCCTGCCTAAACACATTTTCCAGCAAATGCTGGGGGAAACCTTAATTAAGGAAACTACTTTTTGTTGTTCCATGTTTTACTGGAACAACTTCTTACTGCTTCTTACTGCTCCATGTTTTTCTAAACCCTGCGGAGGGTAAGCTCTGCAGTAATAAAACTAAGAAAATCTTTCTAGTCTTGCAGTTTGCATTTGGGAAGGAGGAGTTGGACAGTAAGCAACTAAATAAAACATGTGCTGTGTTAGGTAAGTGAATGGAGGACAAATTGGCATCAACAGGGGTGTCTTGTTTTTTTGTCAGAATTTATATTGTCTTTCTGTGAAACTTTCACTTATCCGCTAAACTTGTTTTCATCCTCTTAAATTTGTCCTTCACCCTGCCACCCAAATAAACTAATAAAAACACTTCCATGCTGAAAACTCTTATATGATTCTTCCTCTCTTAGACTGAAGGGTCAACTCTGAATTCTTAATAGGAGGAGGCCCTTCTTAGCTCTGACTTCCTCTCTCACCTGTCATCCAGTGGCCACTGTCTGAAGAATCTAAAACAGGGAATGGTAAACTTTCTCTGTAAAGAGCCAGGTAGTACATGTTTTAGCTTTGTGGGCTGCAGAGTCTCTGTCACATTCAACTGTCATTGCCTGAAAGCAGCCATAGACAATACTTAAATGAGCATGGCTTAGTTGCAATAAAACTTTATGGACACAGAAATTTAAATTTCATGCAATTTTCACATGTTATGAAAAAATTTTCTTTGTTTTCCTTCAACCATTGAATGGTCATATGAAAACAGGCAGCAGGCCAGATATAACCCATAGACCACAGTCTGCCAATCCCTGCTCTAATAGAATGACTTTTAGTCCTTTCATTCCTGTTTCATTGTTGGTTTCTTACCTCTGTGTTGTTGAAGTGTCTCTGCCTGGCTGATTTTTATGTCTTCTTCAAGAGTCATGAAAGATGAATATGAAGAATGTGTATGTGTGTGGAGGGGGAGTGAGAAGTTTGTAAATCTAGAGTCAGTCCTGTAGTCCCCAAGAATCTGTTCCTTAATTTTACTCTTCCATTCTCCCACATTCCGACCTCATTTATCTGTGTTCCTAAAGCAATTTGTAAGCTCTTTTCTTGCCCTACTACATTGTATTTCAGTTAGTCTTTTGAGTCTAGCCTCATCTGGAAACCTGAGCTATTATTGTGGGACAGGACCTATGTCTTTTTGACCTTCATTTTCCCATCTACCCAGTACCAGGCTCTAGTCAGTTAATGTTTATTGGATTGAACAATCTAACTGGAACCAGGGCAGTAGTAAATAGGTCTGGAGAGTGGGAAGAAACAAGTAACCCTAATGATCTATTAGACTAAGGGGGACTGGGCAAAAGAGAAAGGAAGATTCCGTAACTCAATTTCTGGCTTGGGTCGCAGCACAAATGGAAGGTGAATCTGGATGGTAGACAAGAGGTCTTGGCTGGACACATGATTTTTTTTATTTCATAAAAAAATGGGTTTCACTGGAACTCTATTTGTCCAGAATTTGAGTTTTGCAATCTATCTTAATTAATCCTTAAAATCACCTATAAATGACTAATAACGTTTTATAAATGGGCAAACTGAGGGGCTGTAAGACGGACCAGAAATTTTAAACCTGTCTTTTTTGCCTTTAAATCCATGTACTTTTTATGATACCATGCCACTGCCTTTCAGAAGAGTTTCAGATGCCGAGTGCTGGACAGAAGTCAAGCATGACAATATTAAAAGAGTCCTTAATTGTGGCAAACTGAGAGGTCATTTGTGAGAAAATTGCAGTTTATCTCAATGTATTTTGGGGTGTTGGAGATGGAGTATGAATCACACTTTCGAGAAAGATGGCAAAGAAGAAGACCAGAGTGCATTAGCCACAAAGACGGAAGCAGAATGAAACTTAGAGAATATTTGCCTAATGGTTGGTACTAGAGCAGCACATGAACCATACCTCTCCAGATACAATAGACCTGCAAAAGGAGCTGTCTAAGCATGCTTTTGTTTTAGTCCTGTCAGTCAGTGCTTCATGGAGTCCTCACTCCTGCTGAACCTGCTGTAGTCACAGTAGGAAGGTGCATGATGGCCCAAATTGGCTTATGGAGGTGATTTAGGTGTCTCACAGTGACGGTGAATGTGCTTCCTTCTTTAATTCAGTTAGCAATTAAGCCTTTGATGTGATTCTGGGTAAATTATTTACCCACCACCTCAGAATTTAGTATCTCGTGATCTTTTTCTCCATTATAAATATAAATATAGTTTTTAAAAAGTTTTCCATTTAATTTTTTTAGGTAATCTGTTCTTACTGACAGTTTTTGTATTGTAGAACTTAGAAAACAAGATAATATTTGACAATAAATTGCTGAGTTTAATTGCTCATTACTTTAAGGGCCGTACAAACAAAATAGAAACAAGATTTCCTTAAAAAGAAACTGAAAGCCTGGGATTGGAAGCCTCAGCTTTTTTTTTTAAATTCTTACTTTTTGTTTTCCTATTTAAGAAAATGTGGGCAAAGAAAATAGGTGAAAGTAGCTGATTTTAGTATTATTGACAATTAGAAAAAAGATTTCAATTACTAGAAAACATTGAGTTATCTCAGTAATTTTGTGTTTGTATTCTGAATGCTTAGTATTAAAACCTTCAACAATGTTCTAAGACACTTGGAAGAAAGTAGTTATTAGTTTTCGATTATTCGAGATTTTGGTATAATAACTGCTCCTGAGAGTACAGCAGAACACTTGAATCTTTTTAACATTTAGTTTTGTGTCTTTTTAGGCTTTGATTAATTATTACTGTCAAGAAAGATATTTCCATCATGTGTTACTTGTTGCCAGTGAAGGAAAGAAGAGGTATGGCAATGACCCTGTCTTCAGGTTTTATCATGCCTATGGTACATTAATGGAAGGTGTGTGCTCATTATTAAATGTGTTATGTAAAGCTTTAAATTCTTCTTTTGCAGTAAGAGTAATTTTTCACATTATAATCTTGATTTTCAGGTAAAACTCAAGAAGCTCTTCGAGAATTTGAAGCTCTTAAAAATAAACAAGATGTATCACTTTGTTCTCTAATTGCACTGATATACACCCACAGAATGAGTCCTAACCCAGGTACAGTATTTAAATACAATGCTTAGGACAGTTTTCCTACTTAATTCATTTTGTTTTTTTTTTTTAAACTACCATGCATTCAATCTGATCATGCTGCATTATATTTTTTCTATGATGCTAATTATGTCATATTTGCTCTATCTTCCTGACAACATTATAAATACATGAGGCATGAGAAGTATGTCTTATATTACTTCATATTCTTTATATCCTATGGCAGAAGTTTCTTTACAACACAGGGATTGTTTAAGGACAGCCACAATACAGGAATATACATAAATTGTTTGCAGTGGCCAACTTTACAACTTGTTGTGTGAAAATATAAATATAGAGCTATATGCAGCTTACCTCCTCTGTATTTTAAGCTTCTTAAAGTGTTTACTTTTAAGTGTTTATTCCCCAAGGGTCTGATCTATTGGAAGATATTTAGTATAATGCCTGCTCCTCCACTGATGAGTTCTGTTTGTGTTATGACTTTTTTTTTAAAGATTTATTTATTTATGCATACAAGAACTGTACTATAGGTGGTGCAGGGAGGTGAGAGGATTCACCAGAGACCAAGTGAGAAACAGAACAGGCGGATTGACAGAAATACATTGCTGAGGGGAGCAGTGGGAGAGACAGGAAAGGTTTGCTGTGCCATGTGGGTTAACTCCTTGGCTGGGGATCAAACTCGTGCAGCAGCTGCAGCGGCTGCCGATAGCTTCATTGTGCTGAGACTTAACCCCTTGCACCACCAGGGAGGCCCCTGTTATAACTTTTTTATGAAAACTTCTGAAGGTGTTCAAGTGGGTATTGGGGACAGGGCAGCTGGAATCTTATTGCCAAGTGAAATGTAGCCTTCCAGAAATAATTTTATTTCCTCAATTCATAAATTTGTATCTTGGTAATTCCACATTTACATTTAAATTTGTATCATTAGAGTTAGAAGAGTTATTAGCATCCATTTCTAGGAAGATGGTCTATTAGAGTCACAATCCTTAACTTTGACATTGCTTTTCCTTATTACTTAGCTGATACTGATTCTAATTGGGTCCAGGATTTAGATTTAATTGATGTTAGTGACCTAAACACATACTCATGGTAGATTTAACAGAAGTGATTAGAGTTATTAGTAACATGCCATCTATTTAAGGGAGTAGTCAGTATTAAACTATGTAAGAAACAACAGTTATACTATCTTTTCACTGACCTGTGACAGTAGACTGGATGTTTATTTAGAGTTTGATTAAGGAGTTGGGAAATATGAATACTGCTCCAGAATATGCATCTAACATTGTATAATTTCAGAATCATTATTATTATTAAAAATATTTGGGGCCTCCTTGGTGGTACAGGGATTAAGTGCTATCAAGCTACTGCCAGCCACTATAACATGAGTTCAATCCCCGGCCAGGGAGCTGACTCACATGGCACAGCAGACCTCTCCAGTCTCGCCCGCTGCTCCCCTCAGCAGTGTATTTCACTCAATCCTCCTGTTCTGCTCCCCATTCTGTCTGGCGAATCCTCTCACCACCACTCCTGCCCCCCTGCACCTCTGGCCTACACTCTAGTTCTTATATGTATAAATAAATAAATCTTTTAAAAAATATATTTGCATACATACATAGCATTTACATCTTGGAAATGATATGAATTATAGAAGTGCAGTATGCAGCATATGCAGTATGGTGACTAAAGCATGTGGTTGTTGAGTACTTGAAATGTGTCTGGTTTTGATTGGGGTACCAGATTTTTAATTTGATTTTAAACTTAAAACCAATATTTGATCCAATTATTAGAAAAGTTGTATTTGGAACAAGTGTGTGGATTTGCCTTTTCAACTATAAGATTTATGAAGTTTGAGTACAAATTAAATATTTCTAGAGAAATTTATGATCTAAATTGAGATGTAAAGTATATACCAGATAATGAAGATTTAGTAAGAAGAAAAAACCAAAATATTTCATTAATAACTTTTTGTCAATTATGTGTTTAAGTGATAAGTTGAATGTATTAGGTTAAATACTTTATTAAAAATAAATTCTTATTACCTCTTTGATGTGGTACTGAGCAATTTTAAATTACATGTGTGACTTTTATTTTATTTCTATGAGACAGTGCTGCTATAGAAAGAACTAAATTATCTGCCCTGTTAATCATCTAACCTGTTGGAAACACTTGATCTTTACTTTAATTTTCATTTAATGCCCTTTTTTTCTTTCCTAGATAGAGAAGCTATTCTGGAATCAGATGCCAAGGTGAAGGAACAACGTAAAGGAGCAGGACCAAATGTTTTGTACCATGCAGGCTTATTTCTGTGGCACCTTGGTCGCCACGATAAGGCGAGAGAATATACTGACAGAATGATAAAAATATCAAATGGTAGCAAAGAGGTAACTGATTTTCTTACTTTGAAATAGTAACATTAAAGGAAGCTAATGTTGTTCATGTACTCAGAAGGATCTGCTGTTTAATTCTTTGTTGTTGCCCACTCTATTCTTGCTTTATAAATAGCAGCTTTAAGTTAGTATTTTATTATTATGTAAAATTGTGGTTCTCTAAGGTTGTTTGTTTTCATGCTGTTTATTATATCTTGAAAAGATTCTTCCCTCCCATCTTTCCCTCCTACACTCCTGTCTGAACTGCTGTAGATACAAGGCACCATTATTTTGTGCTGTTAATAGCATAAAGATAAGATAAATTGCTTTCACGAATGGATCACCTAATAGGAGCACAGACCGGGCTACTATTGTGAGAAAATTTACAAATGGTATGAAAGAGGTGTGACAAAAAACTTCTCAGGAAAATAGTAGTTTATTGTTTGCTTGCTTTATGCTTTATACTATAATAAGTACTTAAGGAGAGATCACATCTTAGTGTTAGTGAAGGAAATCGCATTTGAGTGAAAACCAGAAAGATACTGTTTCAACAAAGGAAAGTAGAGTCTTCAGCATGGGAGATAATAGAGGGAAATAAGGAAAAAAAAGGAGACATGTTGCTTCTGGGTATAATGAGAACTCACACTTGACAGGAACACAGGGCACATATGTGAGAAGAAGGTGGAAGAAAAGCTTGGAAGTTGTGTGGGAGCACACACAACTTGTAGGATCAAATACAACTTGTAGGATCTTGACTTATAGGTACAGGTATTTATATCTCATTCAATTGGCATTGAGAGATCATTGAAGGTTTTCAATAATGACAGTGATTATTAGAGTGCAAATTCAGATTAATTTACCAATGCTTTACAAGAGCACCTGACCTGAGGAGAAAACAGAACGCACCAAAAAAGGTAGTACTTGGGCCTCCCCAGTGGTGCAGCAGGTTGAGTGCAGCGCTGTGAAGCTGTCCGCAGTCTCTGCAGCACGGGTTCGATTCCAGGTCAGCCAGGGAGCAACCCACATGGCAAGGCAGACCTCTCCTATCTCACCTGCTGTTCCCCCAGCAGTGTACTTCAGTCTATCTGTCTGTTCTGTTCCCTGCTCTATCTCTGGTGAATCCTGGCACCCACCCACACTTGTGGCCTGTACCCAGCTATTGTATAACTAAAATAAATCTTTAAAAAAGAAAAATAAAAGGTAGTACTTTCTAGTAGAAGATTTTGAAGGCCTATGCTAAAATAGTGTACAATGAGTATGAGTTTGAGAATTTTTAAATACCCACAGACTTGTCACCTGATTATAAATAGTGGGGAAAAGTGAGGTGTTAGATATTGAGGGTATCTCTTTGAGGTTATAAACCTGGAAAATTCATAGGTCACTTAACATGAACAGAATACACTGGGATGATAATCTTGAAGGGAGGTGATATTATTTGGCTTAAGACATGGTACATTTCATGTCTGGTGGAGCAGTGAAATGGATATAGTAGATGAAATTTTGGAAAAAGAAAAGTTTAGAAATGACATTGGTATAGAAATATAGGTTGGAAATCATCTACACAAGAAATAGTAATTGATTCAAATAAGGACTTTGTTAAAGTGAGAAGAATTATTTTAGTATTATTATCTGTCTTTTCAAGTGAAATATAAGGAAGTAAATAGTCTTAGAAAAATGCAAGTTTATGAGTTAACCAGGATATTTCCTAGCAGAAGAGCAGATTTCACATCTTTTAATTTGATATTAGAAAGAAAAATAACCTACCTGTATCTATCTTTTCACTCATATAACCCCTAACTACATTAGCCCACTAACATTTCTGAAAGTAAACATCCATGACCTCTTCAGTTTTTATTTTTGAGATTTTTTTTATCATCTCATTTGAAACTTACTGGACTTGTCATAGAGATTAAGGAGATAGTTGCCAAATTCTTATTTTTTTTTAAAGATTTTTATTTATTTATTTATGCAAGCACTGGGTACAGTCAGAAGCGCAGGAGGGTGAGAGAATTCACCAGAGCCAGAGTGGGGAACAGAACAGGCAGACTGACGAAATACACTGCTGAGGGGAGCAGCGGGCATGGCAGGAGAGGTCTGCACGCCATGTGGGACCCTCGCTGGCGGCCGGGGATCAAACTGGTGCTGCAGAGCCTGCGGGCAGCTTCGCAGCCCAGCGCTCAGCTGCTGTGCCACCAGGGAGGCCCAAATTATCTTATTTTTAATTTATGTGAAGCAACACATTTTTATTTATTTCATCTTAGTTCATTTGGTCTTTTTGCTAAAGAAAGAAGTAACAGATTTTTATTTATCTTTTTTTTTTTTTCATGTTTAATTTACTAGCAAAGCCATCAGGTAGAATACTGGTTATTTAGCGTTAATGGAATATTTGACCAGCTTCTTAGTATTTATATTGAGATCCTAGTAATAGTAAAGGCTGGAATTCATAATATAGTCCCAAGATTCTAGGCTGGCAGTGGTTCAAAAGTAATGCTATTGCACAAAGTTTTATTGTTCATAAAATTACTTGATAAACTACTTATTTTTAAAAAATGACTTTAGGTTTACCTCTTTTATTGGTATTTATTTCCTTCCCAAAGAAATGAAAATATGATTAGAATTATTTATTTTACAGGGACAGGTTTTAAGAGCGTGGCTTGATATTACAAGAGGAAAAGAGCCGTATCCTAAAAAGGCACTAAGATATTTTGAAGAGGGATTACAGGATGGAAATGATATTTTTGCTCTGCTGGGTAAGGTGAGTTGGAGTTAGGCTAAATAAATTATGTTTTAAAGTATGTTCACAATATACCCGAAACCTAACAAAATGAAGTAGCTAAAAAAAGATTAATTTTCACATATTTTTTCTTTTAAACTCTAAACCATAGGAAAGATTTGCATTTGCATAGGCCAGTGATCAGTAAACTAGGGAAATGTATTCCATACCAAATTCCCAAAACCTACATTGGTTTTAATTATAGATGATGACGGTTCATACTTATTTACTCAGCAAATTTTTTAGTGTCTAATATGTGTAAGACATCACAGTACATTATGGGGTACCTTGAGTAAAATAAAACTTCCTGCTTTTATTCTGTTGGTGGAGACACAACAAAATAATTAAGTATGTGATGTATTAGAAGGTGACCAGTGTGATGGAGAAATAAATAAATCAAGGAAATGGGGAGATGTAGAGCATGTAGATGTAGGGTCTGAACTTGCAATTTTAAATGATGTAATCAGAGAAAGTAGCATTTAAACAAAGACTTACAGGAGATGAGTGTGAAGCCTTTAGGGCACATACAAGAAAATATTACAAATATAGGTTATAATAAGTTCAGTCCTGTAAGGCATGCAAGGCTTTGCCGTAATGCCAGACAACCAGAGCTGAATGAAGTGAACATGACAGCGAAATAAGGCGGGTGTGGGGGCATGAGAAGAGGTAGGATACAGTCTGTAAAGCCTTTGGCTTTAGTTTTGAATCAGATGGTTAGGCAGCCGATGAAAAGAGAAGAAACATGCTGTGACTTACATTGTGAGGGGTGAGCAGCTGAAAGAGTCAGAAATCATTGATAGTTGAAAATGTTTGACATGGACTCTTTTGTTAAACCCATTGATGCCTTCTGGACTCCAGAATATGTTTTTAAATTTTGCTTCAGCAAAAACAATATATTATAGTAATATTATAGATTGATTGAGATTGAATGCTCATTTTTAACTGAGCCATATCAGAACTAAATTTATTCCTAAAGGTATAGAAGTAAATTTTAAAAAATATGATAGGTGATAAATGTGTATCATTATCTGTTTTTAAAGTAAATATGTATTTATAATTTTACTTATTTTCTAACTATAGAAGTATTAGATGAACTTTGTAAATAATTTTTCTGACTGTCATAGCATCTGAATATAAAATAAATATCATTACTGGAGATAACCAACCACTTGAACTATTATATGTGACATTTCTTCATGTTAGTTAATACAGATTTACACATTTACATAATCACTTTATATGATTGCCTAAAATTTTATTAAACAGATATGTTATAATTTAATTATCTGTGGACATTTTGGGTTTTTTCATTTTCTCTTGCAAATAATACTTCCATAAATATAATCTGTATGTTTCTGTATGGTAATTATTTCCTTAGGTAAAATACTGAGGTAAAGGGAGCTGTTTTTTGCTTATTTTAAGTTTTGTCTAGGTGTAAATTTTTTGAAGGTATAAAGTCTCTTAATTTTATTTATTTATTTATTTTTAAATAATAAATTTTATTTTTATATTCCCCATACAATTGCAACCCCCCCATTTTGACCCCAATCCCTTCCCATCGTCCCCCCCCTCCAAAAGTGTCTCTGGTTCATAGTTTTTTGTTGATTTTGATTTTCACTTTCTTATAGTTGTTCATTTTCCTGGTCCCTTATTTAAGTTTTCTAGATTCCTGCTATGAGTGAGACCATCCAGTATTTTTCTTTTTCTTTCTGGCTTATTTCGCTGAGCATGATCCCTTCCAGCTCCATCCATGTTGCTGCAAAATGCATGTGTTTATCTTTTTTGAATGCTGAGTAATATTCCATGGTATATATGTACCACATCTTCTTGATCTAGTCATCTATTTTTGGGCATTTGGGCTGTTTCCAAAGCTTAGCTATTGTAAATAGTGCTGCTATAAACATAGGGGTGCAGGTGTTCTTTGGAATTGATGTTTCTGTGACCTTTGGGTAAATACCTAGGAGTGGAATTGCTGGATCATATGGAAGCTCTATGTTCAGTAGGTCCAGAAATCTCCACACAGCTCTCCATAGTGGTTGGACCAGTTTGCACTCCCACCAACAGTGCAGAAGAGTTCCTTTTTCTCCACACCCTCGCCAACATTTGTTGTTGCTAGTTTTTTTAATATGGGCCATTCTCACTGGTGTAAGATGGTATCTTATGGTAGTTTTGATTTGCATTTCCCTGATTACAAGTGATGTTGAACATTTTTTCATATGCCTGTTGGCCATTTGCTTTTCCTCTTCAGAGAAGTTTCTTTTTAGCTCTTCTGCCCATTTTTTGACTGGATTATTTTCTTTGTTGTTGTTGAGTCTCATCAGCTCTTTGCAGATTTTTGTCATCAGTCCTTTATCATTAGTGTTGTGTGCAAAAATGTTCTCCCAGTTGGTGGGGTTTCTCTTTGTTTTTGTTATTGTCTCTTTTGCTGTGCAGAAGCTCTTTAATTTGATGTAGTCCCAGCTGTTTATCTTTGCCTTCACTATCACTGCTTTGGGTGATGTGTCTGTAAAGATGTCTTTGATGTGCATATCCCGTAGTGTTTCGCCTATATTTCCTTCTATGTATTTTATGGTTTCAGGTTTTATGTCTAGTTCTTTAATCCATTTTGAGTTGGTTTTTGTGTATGGTGTGAGGTAGTGGTCAAGCTTCATTCTTTTGCATGTAGCGACCCAGTTTTCCCAGCACCATTTATTGAACAAACTTTCTTTGCTCCAATGCATATTCTTTGCTCCTTTGTCAAAGATTAGTTGACCATAAATCTGTGGGTTTATTTCTGGATTTTCTATTCGATTCCATTGGTCTGTGTGTCTGTTCTTGTTCCAATACCATGCAGTTTTGATGATTATGGCTTTGTAGTATAGCCTGAAATCTGGGAGTGTGATGCCTCCATTCCCTTCTTTTTTTTCAGGAGAGCTTTGGCTATTCGGGGTTTTTGGTGATTCCATATGAATTTCATCAATAATTATTCTATTTCTTTGAAGAATAACATTGAAATTTTTATTGGAATAGCATTGAATCGGTATATTGCTTTTGGTAGGATGGCCATTTTAATAATGTTTAAGTCTCTTAATTTTAGATGGTACTTAACAAATATCCTAAAAATATTTTAATCTTAAAAGATATCTTCTGTTCTAAATAAGAAGCATTCTTTATTTTATGGCATTTTTAAAAACATTAAGATGTATTTATCCTAGTAATCATATTTCTCAGTTATTTAAAGGGCATTTTAAAACAAAATGTCACTTATATAAAATATTTCTATTGTTCTGTGATATTTTAAAACTTTGCATTGATAAGAAATTACATAGCAAGTTAGGTATGTAATATGTTAGAAATGTTTTTTTCTCACTATAAAGGTGATAACTGTGACTTACAAGAAAAGTAAGAAAGCAAAAATATAGAAAAATTTAAAAACTAGTATCCTACCTGTGTGGGGATACCTGTGGTAAGAGCCTTAGTAGACCTACCTCCATCTGATGGCCCTTTGTTCTCTCCTATTAGGCACAATGCCTTGAGATGCGCCAGAATTACTCAGGTGCTCTGGAGACTGTGAACCAGATAATCACGAACTTTCCAAATTTCCTTCCTGCCTTTGTAAAGAAAATGAAATTACAGCTAGCCTTGCAGGATTGGGACCAGACAGTTGAGACAGCACAGAGGTTAAGTAAAAATATACATGATGCAAGTATCTTTGTATATGGGTATAATTTTCCAAAAAAAAAGAAATCTATGCTGCTGTTGTTTACCATAAGATTTTTTTTAAATTTGATTTTTCCAAGTGGGATAGAATTGAGGAAAAACATAACATTGCACTGTTCATAAAAGTGGAATGTACTGATTTACATAAATATTTGAGGACTGATTTTAAGACACTTTCATGCAAACAGACAAATATCCCTGCCCTCATGAAGCTTATATTCTAATGAAGGGAACCATATAGTAATGACAGCAAATAAGTTACGTAATATTTTAGAAAGTTGCACATCCTTTGGAGAAAAAATAAAACAGCAAAATGCAGTAGGAAGTGGGGAGGAGGGATTCTATCTTATGAATGGGTCAGGGAAGACCTCACTAAGAACATGGCATTTGTTTTTTGTATTTTTTTTTAATATCTATTTTTAAAGATTTATTTATTTATATAAGAACAGGGTTACAGGTCAGATGTGCGGGAGGGTGAGAGAATTCACCAGAGACAGAGTGGGGAACAGAACAGGCAGACTGACTGAAACACACTGCTGAGGGGAGCAGTGGGTGAGACAGGAGAGGTCTGTTGTGCCATGTGGGTATCTCCGCGGCTGGCAGGTATCAAACTGGCACTGCAGAGGCTGCGGACAGCTTCATAGCGCTGCGCTCTACCACCTGTGCTACCAGGGAGGCCCAGAACATGGCATTTGAACAAAGGGAGCACACCATGCAAAGAGGAGGAAAAGCAAGTAGAATATGTTATTTGTTAGAGTAGTAGAAAGGATTACAAAAGTAGGTAATGAAGTCAATATGGAAAGATGAAAGGGAGCAAAGGTGCCAACTCAAAAGTTTTGTTTTTTTTGTAAAGATTTTTTTCCTTCTGAAAAAGGATTTCTTTCTTTAGTTTTTCTTATGAAATGTGAAGTCAGTGGAGAGTTGCTCTCCCTCCTTCCTTCTCTCTCTCTTTCTTCTTCTCCCCCTTCTTTTTTGTGCTCTGTTATTTTTTTAAGTTAGAGAAACCAGTATTTCATCCTGTTTTAGGTTGAGTTGCATTCAATCCAATGTATAGATTTGAGTTGCAGTCAACCCCATCTATAGACTTAGGATTAAATCTATAGATTGCTTAGGGACAATTTTTTAAACCAAAAATGAGTATTATGAGGCATATAATAATAAGCACTATTTCTCATGCTCATTTGGGTCATCTAGGATTGGCTGATCTGGACCAGGCTTATCTGGGATTCTGCTGTAAACTTATATGAGCTGGGTGGTATGGCACCTCATTGCCCCAGTAAAGATGCACCTCAGCAATTGTGGGTGCTTTGGTAGTAGGTGTGGTGTGGTAATGTGCATCTGAAGCATTGTGAACTTACATACTTACTTCATATATAGTGTTGTAACCCGATGTTACCTCAATAAAGAAAAAAATTTGAAGTAATACAGTTTAAAAAAAAGAATGCAACTCAGTAAATAAGTGTTGTTCCCTGGGGCTAAGCTAAAGAGCAGCAGCTACCAGAGTAATCTCATTTCATGTTCATGGCAGAGATGTAAGAGGACATGTAGAAACATGTGATGCCTATGAATGGCACTCTGCTACTCCTGTCCACATTTCACCGGCCAATGCATGAAAAACATCTGAGTCCATAGTCAATGAGCAGTTAAGTACACACCAACATTTGTAGGGATAACTGCTCAATTATATGGCAGAAGGCACATATTCAGAAAGGGTCAAAAAAATGGACTAATATTTCCATTTAGCACATCATCCCTGATAAGAAACTTAGTTTGTTACCCCATTCCATCAGTTCCTTTTCTAAATACTCTTGAGTAAAGCTTGATAGGAATTTTTATAGTTTTTTTGCAAATTTCTTACTGTTTGTTTTTGTTATCATTTGTAGTATATTTTTCCACAGTATTTTCTAATTCGTTTTTATGACGTGTCTATTTTAATGTTTTGAATTACATTAGTAGATTTTTAATTCTCAACCTGTCTTTACATTCCTGGAATTTTTGTAATAAATCTGTCTGGTTTAAGGTTAATTATTCTTTTAATAGATTGTTGGGTATAGTTAGCTAATATTTTACTCAGGATTGGTACAGAATTTCATGAAACTGGTACAATCTCTACATATCCTTTTTAAATATGTTAGGAATTAATCTATAGTTTCTTTTTAATTTAAGTAATGAAGTTGATAAGCTTCATAAAGAATGTTCACTAATGAAAATGACAGTGAAATAGATTGGCAAATCAACTTTTCAGGCTCTCAACTAAAAGAAAATATGTAAGTTTATTTTAACATTAAGTGAAATATTTTTCTGCAGGTTACTGCTTCAAGATAATCAAAATGTGGAAGCTCTAAGAATGCTGGCTCTTTATTATTTGTGTCGGGAGGGGGATCTAGAGAAGGTAAGTTGGACTATGCTATTTATGTTTCTAGTATTAAACATGTACTTAGTTGTAAGCACACAGTAGAGCCTTGAGAAACTCTTTTAGAATATATGGTAATATTTAGTTGATTCCTAGAAATATCCCTTAGTAAAGAGATGAGCGTCTAACATCAACAAGTTAAACAAAAATGTCATCTAGTTAAAATTACCCATGAAAATTCCTTACATTATGATTTACAATATAAATTTCCCATGCAGAAACTTGCATTCCCATATTCATTGCAGTGCTACTTACAATAGCCAAGCTATGGAAGCATCCTAAGTACCCCAAAACAGATGAGTGTATCAAGATGTGGTATATATACACGATGGAATCTATACAGCCACCAAAAGAGATAAATTGGCGCCATTTATGGATGATACTGGAAGGGATTATGCTAAGTGAAATAAGTTAGAAGGAGAAAGGTGACAGATAGTGTCACTAATATGTGGAATATACAGAAAGCAGAAAAAGAGTCCGATAAAGCCAAACTCAAAACTAGTACTTGAAAGTTGACTATAGATTTGAGACATTCAGAGTGGATAGGGAGAGAGGGGTGAACACCAAGTTGAGAGGAAGTACAATGGAGGTGGACTGTGGGTACTTCGGTGCTGGGAACACCACAGTCACATCACACAAAGTGGGGGGGTCTTATACTGCCAAAATACAAACAACAATAAGCCAACGTTACCCCAAAATGAAATAAATAAAATCATTTCCCATGTAATAATATATATGAATAATACACATTTTAATTGCATTTGCATAAGTTAAACAGGGTTATGATAAAATCACGCTGGACCTTGTAATAAGGTACATGTTTCTCTGGTAGTGAACACATTGACTATGTACTGGATTATGGAATGCCAAAATTCAGTCTGAAGTAAATAATACAACAAATCATAGATTTAGATTGTGTTTATTTTGGTTAAATTGGTAATTGTGACAATGCCTAATAAATACTTCAGAAATAGTAAAAGAATCTTAGAAGAAGCAACTTTTGAGTAAATTTTCCAGGCATTGAAATTACTTACATCTTCAAATAATACTAATATTTGTGCATATGTGAGCCACATTCGCAGCTCACATGTGTCATGAACTAATTATTGGAGAGGGAACTTGGCCTGTGTAGAGTTAATTGAATATTATGGTTTTCTTTTCCCCCCCCAAACTTTTCATTCAATAACATATATTAAAGAAATACACTCTAAAACTCAATTCTTTATGTAATTAATTGAGCTTTTTTAAAAGACCTCCTTATACATCTTACAACATAAATAATTGGAAGGGGGTATTTGTAAAAACAAAGATCTCTTAAAATAATAATAATGTTTATTAGTATCTGTTATGATTTATGTTCTTGTTGCCTTAGTTTATTTTAAAATTATATTACATACTTTTGTTCTAGGCTTCTACCACGCTAGAAAACTTAGGAAATGCTTTGGACATCATGGAACCACAGAATGCTCAACTTTATTTTACTATGACAATAGCCTTCAGCAGAACTGTAAGAATGCCTCCAATGTATCAGAGCTCTGTTATCTGTAGCTGGGAATATAAAATAAGTCATAAAAGTTGAGGTACCAAAGAGCATATGGCCTAGAGTAAAAACATTTATATGTAAACATGTGATACATTGCTAACGAAGGCAGTTCAAAGGAGATGTGGTTTCTGACTATAAGCTTCATGAATTAAGTGGCACTAGTTGAACCTATGAGGACAGGAAAGTTCCTTCCTATAAAACAAATAGGAAGTGGTTTATTTTAACCAGTACTTAGGATTTATGACCAGGATTATTTTTGTATTTGCTTCTTTTTAAAAAATAGGTTTTAAATTGGATAAGAGAATATTTTGGTGGGTGAAATAACATCTCATTTTTCATAATAGGAAAGATGTTTTTATTACAAGCATCCAATAGAAAGAAGGTAATCCCTAATAAAATAGAATAATAAGTAGAATCTCATAATCAATACTTAGAATGAGAGGATTAAACATTTATTAGAATAAGAAAAAATAAAGAAAAAAGTACACATAAGCAAAATAATAAATATAAAATTGAAAGAAAAAATGAAAGCTACTAACTTATATTTGTTAATGAATAATTAACTTATATGTAATAATGAATAAAATGAATCTTCTTGTTTAAAACAAATATTGTGTGAAATTGAGGGAAAAAGCTTGCCATTACAAAAGTTTGACTTAAGGATGGTATTTTATCTACCTATGGGCATACACATTGTGTTGATCAACTTACAAAAATTCATGCAGTTTAGTGTTTTATTCTTTTTTTTAAATTTTTATTTATTTATTTATTTATACAAGCACTGGATACAGTCAGAAGCGTGGGAGGGTGAGAGAATTCACCAGAGCCAGAGCGGGGAGCAGAGCAGAGCAGGCAGATGGACAAAGTACACTGCTGAGGGGAGCAGCGGGTGGCAGGAGAGGTCTGCGCGCCATGTGGGACCCTCCTCCAGTGGCCGGGGCGCAGCTGGGGATCGAACCGGAGCTGCAGAGGCTGCGGGCAGCTTCGCAACCCAGCGCTCATCTGCTGCGCCACCAGGGAGGCCTCTAGTGTTTTATTCTTAAAAGTTTTTGTCTTCAAAAAATATACTTATTTTAACAGCCTTGACAAATTTCTTGAAATATTTTTGGAGTTTTTTTCAAGAAGATTCTAAGGCATGATCTTTTCTAATATTCTCACTGGTGGTACACCTGCCCTTAGGGGAAAGCAGATCCCTGTCTTAGTGTTTAATTCAATATGTATGTCGCCTATTATTCAGTTTAAAACTTTTTTCAAATAGTTTTTTAAGCAAATACAATGTGTATATTTTTTACATAGTCTACTGTTTCAGTGATGAGACTGTTTGAAAAAATAGTTCTAAAAATATGCTTGTGCAGCAACATCATTATAGTAAGTGGACTTTTCAAGATAGCTATTTTTTTTAAAGATTTATTTATTTATTTATTTATGTATACAAGCACTGAATACAGTCAAAAGTGTGGGAGGGTAAGAGAGAATTCACCAGAGCCAGAGCAGGGAGCAGAACAGACAGATGGACGAAACACACTGCTGAGGGGCACGGCAGGAGAGGTCTGCGCGCCATGTGGGACCCTCTGTGGTGGCCGGGGATCAAACCAGGGCTGCAGAGGCTGCTGGCAGCTTCGCAGCCCAGCACTCAACTGTTGCACCACCAGGGAGGCCCCAAGATAGCTATTTTTAAAAAGCATTACTCATTAGGATATTTAAGTCTGATAGTTTAGGAAACTTTCTTGCAACATTGTTTCAATAATAAATAACAGTATTTTTCTTTGGTTATTAAGTCATTTCACTTTTTTTCATAGAGAAAGAAAAAATACCTTTTTCATCTGAGTAGAAAGGTTCTAGAATAACATTTTTTTTTCTTTTTAGTGTGGACGTAGTCAACTCATTCTTCAAAAAATTCAAACATTACTAGAAAGAGCTTTTAATTTAAATCCTCAGCAATCAGAATTTGCTACAGAACTTGGACACCAAATGATTTTACAAGGAAAAGTGAAAGAGGCATTGAAGTGGTTTAAGACTGCCATGACACTTGATGAAACTAGTGTCCCTGCACTAGTTGGTATGACAACTATGTCTATAAATGTTTCTCATAAGGATGCCAGTAAAAATTGCTTTTAATACCACCATTGAAGAATAAGAAAGTGTGTTTTCTGGTTTTCTAAAATTAAACTGTTCTCCATTATCAGCAATAGGAAAAAAAAATCTTTAAAAATAACTTTTTATTTCTTAAATAATATCTTGATGAAATAGACTTAAGAGTTAGTTCATATATGTTAAGAATTCTTTAGTAGATGATTTGATACAGGTCCAAATTTCTCCACTTTATTTTCTTTTTCTCTTTACTCTCTCTTCTTTTTTTTTTTAATCTAAAACTGATGCATTTTGGGAGAAATGGCACCTGCAGTTATGTAAATTTGGCTAATTGTCTTGTTTGGTTTTAGGATTTATCCGTTGTCAATTAATAGACGGGCAATTACAGGATGCAGATCAGCAGCTTGAATTTCTTAGTGAAATTCAGCAGTCTCTTGGAAAATCTGCGGTATGGTATTTTATTTTATCAGATTTAGATCCTAGCTACTGTTTATAAAATATCAAATTTTAAATATTATGATTTAGGAATGACTTAAAAGACTTCTATATACTGATTTTGATAAGTTTGCATTTATTGGTCTATCCTGTGCAAAATTATACTTTAAATATTCTACAAGATTCTGAAAGTCCTTCCAAACTCATATTTAAGTTTGAACAAATATTGCACATAAATAGCACTTCTTATGCATTTGAAAAATAAGTAGAGATAAGTAATTTATGAAATCTATTTTTCCCCAGGAATTAAGCTATCTACATGCAGTTCTTGCTATGAAGAAAAATAAACAACAAGAGGAAGTTATTAATTTGTTAAATGATGTCCTGGACACCCACTTTTCACAGTTAGAAGATTTACCTCTTGGCATACAGTATTTTGAGAAATTAAATCCTGATTTTTTGTTAGAAATTATTACAGAATATCTGAATTTCTGCCCAATGCAGGTAAGCCTGGAAATTATTTTCAAAGATAATTTTTATATGATATTTTATAAAAGGTGTTAATAAATTAACTTTTACATGTTAAACTGTCCTAAAATGGTAGGATTTTTGTCTATATTAGTTGAAATTGGTTTTTAGTCATAATATTTATAATAATGTCTGCTGTCAACTAATGATTGTATCCATTTACAAATACTCATTTGTAATTTATAGAATCTTAAAATGTTTTTTTTTTTAAAGATTTATTTATTTATACATACAAGAACTGGGGTACAGGCCAGAGGTGAGGGGAGGTGAGAGGATTCACCACAGAGTGGGGAGCAGAACAGGCTGATTGAATGAAACACACTGCTGAGGGGAGCAGCAGGTGAGGCAGGAGATGTCTGCTACACCATGTGGGTTGCTCCCTGATGGGGATCGAACTCATGCAGCAGTGCTTGATAGCGCTGTCTTTAACCCCTGCGCCACCAGGGAGGCCCAAAATCTTAAAATGTTTAATTCAAATAACTATTAGAAGTCACCTAATTCACTTATGTTATATTTGAATATATCCTGTAACATCTTTATTACGTGCCTACAATCTCTGGATGCTCTCACAAATTCAATTCTTTTTGTGTAACTATGATTATTAAACTGCATTTCTTAGGTTAAGTCAGATTGCTTTGTGTTAAAAAATGCCACCCACATTTACTGATCCCCTTTTGCTCTCTGGAGTGACAGAGAATTACTTAAACAATGCAAGGATCATTCCTCATTCATGAAACAGATCTTCCAGTTTTGGAAATTAGTTTTCTTGTCCTCATAAACAATTCCAGATTTTTAACCATTTATTTTTTATGTGACAACAGTGGTGAGCCTGAGGAAAGCCCTTTTTTTTTTTCTTTTTTCATTAAACTCACTATTCCAAATATGAGTTTGGCCTGCAATACCTAGAACAGATTCTTTTTCCTCACCAGTTCTGGATATCCATGCAGCATTCTTTTTGTGAATCAAGTTACATTTTTGATCCCTTTTGAATAAACAATTAACTAAAGTCTTAGAACTGTTACTTGCAACTTTGGACTCAGGTTTATGGCTCTACACTTATCACTATTAAATTTTATCTTCACAGATTCACCTCCTTCCAGATTATCATCATTTTTTTGGATTCTTATCTCTTTTATATGGATCCTTATTATCATTCATCATCTCCTTTATTTAGCTCTGAGACAATCAAGATGGCCTCATCCAAACATTAACAGTTATGAATAGACTAAGCGATGGGAGCATGTGTTGTACTACCAGAGAGTTCTTTCCAAATTGATGTAGGTCAACACATCAGAGTGGATCAGACTCTTTATTACAGAGAGTAAGCAGATGACTTAACTTCGTTATATTCAACTGACAGTTCAACACAGGGATATCATGACAAGCGCTATCAGATACTTTTTGCTAAAACCATAGTTGTCAGCAATCTCTGATCTACAGCTTCAGTAACTGTTAACAAGGAAAGGGGGATAATAACCTTTCGCTGGGAACTGATTTTTTTATTAATCATCATGTCTTTTTCCAGACTTAGATAATTTTTTCTTATTTTACCCCTGCAGGAATCATACCTTGATTGATAACACTTTCCCCAGTCCTGGTCTGTTTTCAGTTGCTTAGAAATTGGAATGCATTTTCAGTATTCACTCAGCATTCAGAATTCATTCAACAAATGCTTTTAGAGTTTGTTGAGCTGGGAAACTGAGCTAGGAAAATAATTGTGTAAAAGCAAAGTATTTCCTTGCTCTCTTGTAACCTTTATGTATACTAGTAGGAATATAATCAAGTCAATAATATAGTATCTTAGAAGATCACTTAAGAAAACAGCAGAACCAGGGGCTGTAATTTTAGATTAGGTGATCTGATAGGCCTCATTAAGAGGTAAAATTTGAACAAAATTTGAAGGCATCATTAAGAACACAAGATAATGAGTGTGACTGGGACAGAATGAGGAAAAGGGGAGAAAGAAGTCTTAGCACTGGAAACCAGATCAGTTGCAGTTTGTCTGCCTTAAATTTTGAGTGAAGTAGGAAGCAGCAATAGGGTTTCCAGTATGATATAGTTCAACAGTTTAAAAGAATTTTTCTTGTAGCTGGGTTTAAGTAAACTAAGTGGAGTAAAAAATATAGAGTGGTAACTGGGTCCCTAGTCCACTGACATTCTGTTTTTCCTATAATATGACCTTTATTACCATGATTATCTAACCTTTACAATGCTGTTTTTCTGAGAAATAATTAGAAAAGAAGATTCATAAGAACTCTCTTGTACAATAGTTCCATCGCTTAATCTATTCATAACTGTTATGTTTGGATGAGACCAGAAAGTAGCGAAAGTTACTGAATTGAATAAGTCTATAAGTCACAAGGCATGTATAGAATTAGAATTCATATTGCCCTGACTCTCAATTATATTGAGAAACTCTGTCAGTTATATATCCTTTAAAAAGTTAGGTTTCCTTGATAAAGTCTTTGAACAGATATGCTCCTTTCATATGTTATCAAATCAGTAATTTTATAATAGTGACATAATTATTTTGCTGAACTAAAGCCATTACTTACATTGTTCATTGATCCCAGGAATATAAATTAGCATTAGTATGATCACAGAAAAGTTATTGGAGAACAAATAGGATAAGAAAAATTTTAGAAAAACAAAGTTCTGCTATTTACATTAAAATTAATATGCATTTATTTTTAGCTAAATGCTATTATAATTTATAAAGTAATGTGCTAATTTGTTTTGTTTAGCCTGCAAGTCCTGGGCAACCACTTTCTCCACTTCTCAGACGTTGTACCTCAATTCTGGAGACTGTAGTAAGAACTGTACCAGGTCTTCTGCAAGCTATCTTCCTAATTGCAAAAGTAAAGTATTTGTCAGGTAGGAAATAACTTAAAATAACCTTTGTTTTCAGAGGTTGAAGAAGTAAATAAGCATTCCATATATATTGGAAATAATCTCATAAAATCTACATTTTACATGTGTACAAATAAGGGATTTTATTTTATTTTTTCAAATAAAGAGTTTTGTTACTTTTTCCAAGATTTATTTATTTATACAAGAACTGGGGTGTAGGCTGGGGGTGTGGGGGATGAGAGCATTCACCAGAGACAGATTGGGGAACAGAACAGGCAGATCTACTGAAATACACTGTTGAGGGGAGCAATGGGTGAAACAGGAGAGGTCTGCTGCACCATGTGAGTCAGCTCCCTGGCTAGGGATCGAACATCCAATGCATGCCACGGTGTCTGGTGATAGCTTGATAGCGCTGTGTCTTTAACCCCTGCGCCACTAGGGAGGCCCTCAAATAAGAAGTTTTAATCCAAAATAAAATTACATAATTTCTTTTACTATTTAATTCTTTAAAAAATTACCATAAACTTTTGTGATTCAAAAGACTTACTGGGAAATACAACTGTGCTACTTTTTTAAAAGTTCATCAGATGGTACTTAAGACTGGCAATAACAATTTATGGTCATAAATCCACAGTTGTTGATCTGTTGGCATAACCATAGGGGATGCTTACCAGGTTTCAGTCCCTATGGTATTTATTGATTAGTTCCTGTCTAGTTTCTGTGACTTGTTAAATATAACTAAGAAAAAAATAACCTGGGTTATAACCTTAGCTTAGCACACAAATGTATGAGTAGATACATAAAAGTAGTTCATTAATATGTTTGTTACAGATATGTACCTTTGTTGGCTAAATGTTATGCAAAAGTTTGTAAAGTCCCACAGGTACAAATCAACTTCATAATAGTCTCATAAACAACAGTTACTTCTGCTACATAGTAGAGAGAGTTAGGAAATGACTTTGCTAATTTTTTTTTAATCTCAGCTTTAATTGTTATTAAAAAAACAGTGTATCGTAACAGTTTTTTTATCTTTAAAATAATCTAGTTGTAAGAAATGACTCTATAATATCTTTTTCTAACTGAGGTCTGTTGCACCACATATTTCTACTTTCTTCCCAATTAGAATGGATATCACCTACTAAATGATTAAGTAGTCTGGGTTATTTATTAAATATTCTTTATTTATTTTTGAAATTTTATATAAATAAGTCTAGTATAGCAATATTGAATTGCCAAAGTCTCTAGGCATGAAATTCTCATTTATTACTCCCATTTTATAAAAATAGTGCCTTAAATAATTTTAAATAGCTCTGGCACATGTCTAAGTAGCAGTATTTTTGCTGACTAGCGGACCACAATGACTTCTGAAATTAACTACCTACAGTTGGACTAAACCTCACAGTCCTACACATAGTCATCAGTTTAGGCACCAGCCACAACTTAAGGGGTTCCCAGGGATACCAGCACACTGACTAGCTGGCTACAAATTGGGGGGTTCCTCTGATCCCCTTAGGTTTGATAATTAACTGGAAAGACTAATAGAACCCAGGAAGGCACTGTATTTTATGATTAGAATTTTATTATGACAAAAGGATACCCATCTGAACCAGCAAAAGGAAGAATGCATAGGGTGAAGTCTGGGAGGGTCCCAAATGTGATGCTTCCTGTGGAGTCAGGACACAGCACCTTTCTACCACATACAGGTCTGCCAATATGTACATCATTAGCAACCAGGGGAATTCACTCTCAGTTCAATGCCCAGGGTTCTTTTTTTTTTTTTTTTTTTTTTTTGCCCATAATTCTTATTAGGGTTTCATTATATAAGCATGAATTGACTGCTTGGACATGTGATTAAACTCATTTTTCAGCCCTCACTAAGCCCCTAAGCTCAAACTAATATCGCCTAACTCAAAGCCCAAAGCCTCTAATCATGTAGGTAGTCTTTGTGATAGAACAGGTCTTCCCTGCCCCTAATTGTTAGCATAGATCATCAAGATCACAAATAAATACATTCCTATCACTTTGGAGTTTCCAAGGCTTAGAGGCTCTCTCCCAGGAAACTTGAACAAAGGCTTGCCAAATTCTGGTCAAGAATGATTACTGGACTAAATCCTTTTTGTTAATGTAACTGACACTGTAACATGCTAACTATTTAAATTTCTATGTTTTATATAACTCATGTTATTGAAGCAATAAATAAAAAAAAATTTTGACAAAAATATAGGTAAATTTATAGGTCTCTCAGTAATGGTGTTTGACTGATCTTTTTACATACTGTCATTTCCTGGTTTGCTTCTTATGACCAAGGACTGGCCTTACAAGTATATTCTCATGCAGACTAAAAGGAAACTAATTAGTACAGGTAGAGATTAAATCACATTCTATGAATTGAGGGCCTTAAATTCAAAAACTGGAGCCATCCATAAGCTATTTTGCTTCCTCTTCTCTCTCAGATCTCCATCTCCTAGTCATTTGAATTATAACAGTGGTGCTTTGTTTCCCTCATTAGGTGATATTGAAGCGGCGTATAATAACCTGCAACATTGCCTAGAACACAATTCTTCTTATGCAGATGCTCATCTCCTACTGGCTCAGGTTTATTTGTCTCAGGAAAAATTAAAATTGTGTTCCCAGTCTCTTGAACTTTGTCTGAGCTATAATTTTAACGTAAGTAGTCCTGACTCAAGTGAGTAAGACTTACCAGCCTCCATGAACCTTCAGAAAATGCTTACATATTTAACAATTTTTTTATTTCAGCTTGTATTTTGTGGATAAATGCACTTTTTAATGGGAACAATTTTAGATTCAAGCAGTAGGGGGAAAAATAGAGACAACTGTTGTGTAGTTAAAAAACTATCTACTCTTAGCAACACAAGACAACGTCAATGTCAGCTCTTTCCCCCCATCTCTACATAAACCTTAGTTTTCTATAAAACTCACATAATAATACCTTGCAGTTAGAGTGAACATTAAATGCAATAGTGAGTATATATTGAAATTTAAAAATTTAGAGTAGTATGCCAAATGTTCTTATATATAAGAAATTTATTTTATTGCCTGGTTCATTCTTGAATTTTTGTATTAGTGACATTTTCCCCAGAGTTATCATCAAAGGAACCCCTTGTCATTTTCAAAATTAATATTTGGTTTGAGGATATAAACAAATTACAGGTATACATTAGAGATATTGCAGGCTCAATCAGGACCACACAATAAAAAATATCAAAATAAAGCAAGCTACACACATTTTTTGTTCTCCAGTGCATATAAAAGTTACATTCACACTATTTTGTAGTCTAATACATGTGCAGTGGTATTATGTCTAAAAACAAAAATAGGGCCTCCCCGGTGGCACAGTGGTTGAGCGCTAGGTTGCGAAGCTGCCTGCAGCCTCTGCAGTACCGGTTCGATCCCTGACCACCAGGTGAGGGTCCCACATGGCGTGCAGACCTCTCCTGCCGCCTGCTGCTCCCCTCAGCAGTGTACTTCATCAAGTCTGCCTGTTCTGCTCTCCCCTCTGGCTCTGGTGAATTCTCTCACCGTCCCCCGCTTCTGACTGTACCCAGTGCTTGTATAAATAAATAAATAAATAAATAAATAAATAAATAAATAAATAAATAAATCTTTTTTAAAAAAAAATAAAAACAAAAATAATGTGCAGACTTAATTAAATGTGACTCAGAGATTAGGAAGTGAGCACATTAAGAAATGAGATTAGGAAATGGCACCAGTGGACTTGCTTCATGCAGGATTTCCACAGACTTTCAATTTATAAAAAAAAGCAGTACCTGCAAAGTGCATTAAAGTGAAGCATGATGAAATAAGGCAAGCGTGTAGGTTTTTATCCATGGTATTCTGTATGTTACATCCCATATTCCTTAGGAGTAGGTGAAATCCTAGGTCCACCTGCTTCCTGAACTATCCAAGGTCACGGAGGAGATCCTCAAATTTTTGCTTTGGTTCACACAATTTGGAGCCCACTCGGTGAAAACCTTTAAGTGGGCTGGAAATTCAAGTTACAGCTACAGTTTACACAAGATAATGCTGCTTCTTAGAAAAGTAGTTTCTCAATACTGATAGTCTATCATAAGCCCAGTGCCAGTACCCTACCCCACTGAATCAAAATCTCAGAGAGAAGAGAATAAGCATGAGTGTTTATACTAAGAGTTAGAACCAAAGCCTTACAGAGGACATACATACAGTGAACATTAAAAAATAAAGGTGTAGTGAAATTCCTAGATAAATTCCTTTTCTGATCACTCAAATAATTCCTGAGAATACATATGGTAGCATTATAAACTTTGAGTTTTCTTTTCTATCATAGTAGAAGCACTTAACTTGCCATCTAGGAGAACACCAGAGTGGCAGGCCTCCTGTATTTGATTTAATACAATAATAAATAAGTCAGTAAGTTAATAAGAAGACAGAAATAGCAGTCATGTTTATAATCACAGGTAGATTATTTGATGGATTCTAAATTATGTGTTTATGTTGTTAGCATTCCAAGGAAATATTTCTAAATATTATTTTTTCAGGTAAGAGAATTTCCTTTATATCATTTGATAAAAGCTCAGTCACAAAAGAAAATGGGAGAAATATCAGAAGCAATTAAAACTCTGCATATGGCAATGAGTTTACCCGGAATGAGAAGAATTGGAGCTCCCTCGAAATCAAAAAACAAAAAAACTGAAGTTGATACAAGCCATCGTTTATCAATCTTTCTGGAGTTGGTAGAGGTCCATCGCTTAAATGGAGAGCAAGTAAGACAACTCTTTTTTTTTTTTAAGATTTATTTATTTATGCATACAAGAACTGGGGTACAGGCCAGAGGTGTCGGGGGCGGTGAGAGGATTCTCCAGAGACAGAGTGGGGAACAGAACAGGCAGATCAACTGAAATACACTGCTAAGGGGAGCAGTGGGTGAGTCAGGAGAGATCTGCTGTACCATGTGGGTAGCTCCCTGGCCCGCCGGGGATTGAACTCGTGCTGCAGTGGCTGTGGCTTGCTTCATAGGTTGCGTCTTAACCCCTTGTGCCACCAGGGAGGCCCAGGTAAGTCAACACTTAATTCAGTGACACAGATCTGAACTTTGTTATTAAAGTACATACATTAGTACAAAACAAAAATTTTAAATTACTCCCTTCACCAAATGTTAAAGTTTTAAAAATTTATTTATTTCTCATTACTTTGCACCAAAGCCTGTACTTTGCAAGATGCTGGAGATAAACATATTTGTCCATAAATGACTTTGTATCACTGGACTTAATGTTAACTACTATGAAATGTAATGATGTATAATATATGCATAATATGTTATGAAAGCTATAATATATGTAATATAACATATTAGTATATTAGTATATGTCATAACATAGTAATAACGCAATCTTATTGATTAATGCAAGAATATATGATTACCTTGACTAAATATATTATTACCAAAGGTAATAAGGTAATTCCTAGAATGATTCACACACACATGCACACATACAAAAACTACAAGAATAAAATGAAAGTACCAACTTGAAATTCTAATAGTTGAGAAAACAAAAGAACCATTTGATGACTACTGCTTTGGTGAACTCACAGGACCATCATAAAATGAAGTACTTTTAAAAAATAACAATACAGATAATTGATAGATAAAAATCAAGCATATGATTCTGAGAGAAAAATTAAAACTTGTAGAAAAGGAGGAATGTAATGTCATTTATATCTGATTATTCTGGTTCCAGGAGTCACTAACCTTTCATTTTCATATATTTTTTTAAGATTTATTTATTTATTTATACAAGCACTGGGTACAGTCAGAAGCGCAGGAGGGTGAGAGAATTCACCAGAGCCAGAGCGGGGAACAGAGCAGGCCCGAACACTGCTGAGGGGAGCGGTGGGTGAGACAATAGAGGTCTGCCTCACCATGTGGGCTGCTCCCTGGCTGGCCAGGGATCGAACTTGTGCTGCTTCATAGTGCTGAGACTTTACCCCTTGCGCCACCAGGGAGGCCCTAAAATCACAATATCTTATCTGTAAAGTTGAGATGAACCTTTAATGACATTTTAGACTCATTGAGATACAGATTTGGAAACTAGGTAGTATGTTTAGCTGAGATATAAAAAAAAGTTTTCCTAGCAGAGGTAACAGAGTAATCTCCTGCTTGACAAAGAGTCAGTGGGTACCATGGGGGAATGGACTGGATCCCATCAAGGGGGCAGTAATGAAAATAGCTAAACACATAGATCTTGCAGTTAGGCTGCCTGAGTTTGAATTCTGGTTCTATCATTTGTTAACTCTTTAAATCCTGTTTTCCTAACTCCAGGGTGGGGGTAATAAAGGTCACTAGTCTTTAGGATTTTTTTTTTTAAGATTTATTTATTTATGCATACAAGAGCTGAAGTGTAGATCAGAGGTGGGGGGATGAGGGGATTCACTCGAGACTGGGGAGCAGAACGGGCAGATGTACTAAAATACACTACTGCGGGGGGCAGCGGTTGAGTCAGGAAAGGTCTGCTGCATCATGGCAGGGACCAAATTCATGCTTCAGTGGCTGCTGATAGCTTCATAGTGCTGAGACTTAGCCCCTTGTGCCACCAGTGAGGTCCTCTTCAGGAATATTGTGGGAAATGAATGGGTTGACACAATCCTGGGTACAGAGTAAATGCATATTGAATTATAGTAACAGTGACTCTTGTATAGTAACTGCTGTTGTTCTAGTTTTGAAAACACTTTATGGCTAACCAATATTTATCATCTGAATTTGTTCTCTAAGCTTGGTTTTTAAATTTCTGTACTTCTCAAAAATTTACCAAACTTCATAAATCATTTTTGTTCATTCTTTATTGGTAGAAAATCCTTATTTCTAGAGTAATTTGTTGAATATTTTAAAGGATGTTATTTTAATTTCATCTTTACAGCATGAGGCAGCAAAGGTTTTACAAGATGCCATCCATGAATTCTCTGGGACATCTGAAGAACTACGTGTTACTATTGCTAACGCAGACCTAGCTCTGGCTCAAGGAGATGTCGAACGGGCTTTAAACATGCTTAGGAATGTCACATCCGAACAGCCTTATTTCATAGAGGTCAAGGAAAAGATGGCAGATATATATCTGAAGCACAGAAAAGAGAAAATGTTATATATCACTTGTTACAGGTAAGTGATTGATTCAGCCCATTATGTTTGATACATTTGACTCTTAAAGTTAATTCCTGTATTTATATTTCTTTTCAACAGCTTTGTTAATACTTTATAGATTCCTTTCTTAATGTGTTCTTGCTTCCTCCGCCCACCAATCACAATCACCTAAGTTATTTACTCTCCTAAGATTCTGTTACATGTGTTTCAGAAACTGGAGAGTTTGTTGAAAAAAATACTTGATCTTACATAAACATTCTGGGGAATGGGTTACCTTTTTACTGTATTACACTATTGCCTATGTAGAATGTTCTCTGAAAAGTATTAGTTAATTGAAATAGATGGACTTCTCTTTTATTTAATTGGTTAAGAAAGAAATATTTGTATTCAACATACTAAAGAGTTGGTCTGATTTCCAGAGAAATTTCCGAGAGAATGCCCAGTCCTCGTTCTTTTCTTCTCCTTGGTGATGCATACATGAATATTCAAGAGGTAATTTTCCTATGGTGCTAAATTTAGGGGGGAGGGAATTCTTTGTGGTTAGTGTAACATTTTGTTAAAAGGAATTTTTTAAAAGAATATTGACTTAATAGTCTAAGGTCTAGTCATCACAATAAATAAGAGGCAGCCATTACAAATTTTTCATCAAATTGAGATCCAGTAATTCTGCACAATTGCTATTTAAAATAGAGATGATGTCAACAGCAAGTTAAGAATCTCCTTTAATCAGGAGGATGTAAATCGCTACTGGTTAAGATTATGTTTTCTTCAAAGGAGAGGCAATCCTCTGGCTTTTATTTCTGAGTTTTATAATGACTTGCAGAAATAGAAAGTCAAGAAATTGTCTCTTAATTCTCACAGTATTATTTATGAAGACAAGGGCACAGTTAACATGGGTGGGATTATACTAATGAGTTACAACTGTGCTACTATCACCTCTCTGAAATTTAGTTTCTGGACTTGCATAGGTGCTTTATTAGTCTCATTAAATATTCCAAATGAAGAATTATAGAAATGTTGCCATTTACTGGAATCCAATAGTACTTGTATTTTTGCATCTGCCAACATTAGCCTGAAGAAGCCATAGTAGCATATGAGCAAGCTTTAAATCAGAACCCAAAGGATGGAACATTGGCTACCAAAATTGGGAAAGCACTTGTCAAAACTCACAACTATTCAAAGGTGAGTATATTATAGTCTGAAAACCATCTATTGCATCAATTTTTTTCAAATCCCACTCAATGAGAGGTCTTCAGCAAGCATTTTTTTGTATCTTAGTGGTTGTAAACACCGTAACTTCAAATTTGAACTCACAAACTAGAATTTGTGTTAAAGGCTTTCTCAGTGTCTCATACGTTTCTGCTGCATTTTGCAAAAATTGTTTGGACTGTCAAGTTTACTTCAGGCTTCATCTTTTGCCTGAATTAGCACTGCTAAATCAGTTATGATAAACTTGATATTGTTACATCTCTTTTATTATATGACCTAGTGTAAAGACAGAGCATAAAAGATATTCATTTTGTTGATAGTAAGTCATATGCCCACAGATTTTTTTTCTTTTTTTCAGTAGGGATAATGGATTTTATATATTATTATATACTCCAGGTCTATTCCTGATAACTATTGATCATATATACAGTAGCTTGCAGAGTATTTGCTTTCAATAAATTTCACTGGCCTCTGGAATAAAACCAGTAAAAAAATTTTATCAAGCACTTTTCTTTAATTATCATAAGAAATGCTAGATGCCTTGTGTGATATTTTGTTTTTCTAAGAAAAATGACATACTTTTCTGACAGTGCAGATATTTGCATAATCTTCTCTTAGGTTACTTCCAATTATGTATATGATTCAAGTCTGTAATATGTAAAATATCTGTGCTTGAAAGCCATTTCAATGTCTTTTTCACTAACTGAAATGGATTTTGTTTAGGCAATCACTTATTATGAAGCGGCTCTGAAAAGTGGACAACAAAATTATCTTTGCTATGACCTGGCTGAGCTTTTGTTAAAATTGAAATGGTATGACAAAGCTGAAAAAGTTCTTCAACATGCTCTAGCTCATGACCCTGGTATGCAAGTCTTTATGATTTGAAAGAAGTACCTGATATACCCAATCTATTTTAGTTTTATTTTGTATATGTTTGTATATATATTCTCAATATTCCATATGTGATAATAGTTCATTTATCAGAATGTCACTACCAATTTTTGTGTTTTAATGTATAATATACATAAGTAAATATATAAGTGTAATGTGCATAATTTTCCTTTTTCAAATATATTGTTTTTACTATTCTGTGCAGTTTTTTCCCACATATAATATGTGCAAAATATAGTTTGATGTCAGGACATTAACATCATTCTTCCTACTGGCATCATAATATTCCTTAACTCCATTAGTTATTAACATTTCACCAACTATTGGACATTTAAAGTTTTCCATTTTTTTGATATTATAAACCATGCTATAATGAATGTACTTGTATTTCATTCACTGGTAGACATTTTTTTTTTATTCTGTTTTATTAAGGCAACATTGATTTACAGTGCTGTGTATGGCTTAGTGGTATAGGATCACACCCTGCTAGTGTGTGTTACCACACCACATCCACTGCCAAAGCACCAATAGTCCTCCCCCATAGTGCATTGGACCCCCTTCACACTCTGCTTTCCCTCCTCCCGCTCCCTCTCTATCTTGTTTTTCAATAACTTTAATAAACAGAAATTTGTGTACATTTAAGAAAGAAAATGGAAATTCTTATGTTGTTGCATTGTTATCTTTTCATATATGTCTAAGCAAAACCTCCGATTGTTATCCAGTTATTTAATTTCTTCTAGCCGTTTTTTATCCTTAATCTTTTTTTTTATTTGATCACTCTTCAGTTAATTGATGGAGAAATTTTAACTGTATTCACCACTTTTCAAAATCACTCTTTCTAAAGGCCAGTTTTAGAACTTGTACAAAATTGTAAACATTTATTTAAAATGAATATACTTTCCCAATGTGTTCTGTTCTTTCATAGTAAATGAACTGTCATCTCTAATGGAGGATGGACGTTCTCAAGTTCTTCTAGCAAAAATTTATAGTAAAATGGAAAGACCTAGTGATGCAATCACTTCATTACAACAGGTAAATGCAGTTCTTTGTGAGTGTGCTGGTGGGGTGCAGAGGGGATATGCCACATGTAAAGAGAAAGCTAATTTCTTTTGACTCACCTGTCACAGAAAATAATGCCTCTAGGATATACAAATTCAGATTTACTGTTGTAAATTCTATCTTTCCAGCCATTTTTTTCTCCTAATTCCTAAACAAGCAATTGTATCCTACACCATTTTTCCTTCCCATGCATTTCTCCATATCTTCTCCATTCCATCTCCTTTCTTTCTTCCAAACTCAAAAGTGTATATCTACCAGTAGTTCTTCTTCAAATCTCACCTGATCTCCCAGACTGGGTTAGGTGTCCTTCCAGTCATCTGCTCCCATGGTAACTAGTATTTCCAGCCCTAAAACACTACACAATTTGCTGTTATCTATTTTTAAGTTAAAATTAGAATGTCTGTGATTGTAGGCATAAATGCTAGGCTCATAGTAGGTCATATTAGCTTTACTATGCTATGTGATAAATTACCACAGATTTACTCCATGAAAATAAAACACATTTATTTTCTTACAATTTGTGATCAGGAGTCAAGCATATTTTAGCTGAACCCTTAAAAATGGGCTTAGAGAAATTGAGCTTTCTTTTATGAAATGTCATTTTGCTCAAAAAATCCCCCGATTATTTATCTTTAGGAAAATGACAAAGCATAACATGAAAATCTGACTCATGTTTATTTCTTTAGGAAGCAAAGCTGATGACTTTGTAGAGATTTAGTTGATGCAGAAAATAAAATTCAAGTTATCTAGAAAATGAATTATATGTCTTTTAGACCTAGCATGACCATGTAATTTATCATTCAAGCCAGGATGCTTAAGAAGGAAAGAAAGCAGTATTAATTTAGCTGACTTGACAGGTATAAACTGGTTATGCCAGATGGTGGAATAGTCATTCTATTTAAACTAATTATTTAGAGTTTTTTGACCATGAGAGAGTGTGTGTATGTATATATGCATGCAAAACCATGCACACAAATACATGCATATACATGTACACACAAATGTACACAAACACATTGATATAACCAAAATAAAGATTTTATCAAATTATGTTAACCTTTCTCAAATGCTATATGCACTAATATTTCTAACTTTTTTCTGTCATTTCCAAGGTAATGCTTATTATGATGCCCTAAATGTGACCCATGGTTTCAAAAAAACCCTCAACTTTAGATCATCTTCATCAAATACCAATTGTCAACCAACATTTTGACAAGCATCCCCAGAAGGGCTCCCTGTATGTAGCATAATGTGTGGCAGATGGTGGCCATTTACTTTTTGTTAAGTGAATGCATGAATGCATTAGTGAATGATTATCTCAAGCTCAAAGTTAAGTTTTATTATGAAAGCCTAAAGGATAGTTCTCTGTCACTTATTAAGGGAAGGTCTCAGTGTTTCAGAAACTAGACATGTGGGTAGAAAGACTCATTCAATTTTACCAACTACCATATATTCTACCCTGAGGAACTCCCCTAGGATCATATGTAAACACCCTCAATTTTCTAACCATTTTCCATTCACTGGACATCTCAGTTGCTTCCAAATTATTTGTTTTTTTTTTTTTATTGATGTTGTTTCCTTTTTCCCTCTTAAGTTGTGTCCCTAATAGTCAGTTAACATGTTTTGCTTGGGTGCCCCCCAGAAGAATTAGGTTTATTTATAATCCATCAGCAATATATGGATATACTTATTGCCTGAAACCTAATAATATTTATTTAATAATTTTTAAATGCCACTTTATTTAGCCTAATAAACTGAAATTTTTCATTTATTTAAATATAGCATGTTTGCATCTTTTCCAAATGTTTGTTGCATGGTTGCATTTCCTTCTTACTGAGCTTCTTTGTAGGAAAAGACTCCGTAATTTTAAATACTTTGGTTGCAAACAAGTACATAATTTAAGGCCTCAATTAAGACATTTTCTTTGGATCAGGCTTTGGTAGACCAATGATGAATAATGCTTAAATAAATCTTCTGTGAAACTATGCTATATGTGAAATTATTGAGAATTGTTTAATCACTTTTTTGTTATTTCAGTTCCTTTTTATCTTTGTCTTTTTCATTTTTTTTCTAGGCTCGAGAATTACAAGCTCGGGTACTAAAACGTGTTCAGATGGAACAGCCAGATGCAGTTCCTGCACAGAAACATTTAGCAGCTGAAATTTGTGCAGAGATTGCAAAACATTCTGTTGCTCAGCGAGACTATGAAAAAGCCATTAAGTTTTATAGAGAGGCTCTTGTTCATTGTGAAACAGATAATAAGGTCAGTACTTCTATAAAATGTTAAGCACCTTTTATTCCAGATGTCATCTTATTTCCCCAAATGTAAAATTCTTACCACCTTATTTACAGACACTTAAACTTAAACACAAGTTAAAAAACTAATAGTGTTTCTAGAAATCTTTCAAAATATATGGTACCTTAAATTAATAATATTAGCCTAAAATTAATATGGAATAAGTAAAATAATGTAAATCTGTAAACTCTTTGTTTTTAAATATGAATCTTCTTTAATAATCATTGTAATCACTTTCTCTATCTCAGGTATATGAATATAATGCTAGACATACAGGAGTGATGGGATTGAATTACCTACAACAGTAGAAGAAATGTTAAGATAACATTTATAGAAAAGTTATATGACTAAATATATAATATATAAATTATATAAATATATAAAATATATAAATGTTTAAATATATAAATTATAAAATTTGTATATATAAATCTATATAAAAATATGTATGTAACCATGGCTGGTTATATAGACTAAAATGTCATTCTCTTAGATATTGATAAGTGGTCAAATTTATTTTTATGTATCTAATAAGTGAATTAAAAAATAAGTGATACAGGGTCTCCCTGGTGGCGCAAGGGGTTAAGACGAAACCTGTGAAGTAATCCGCAGCCTCTGCAGCACAAGTTCGATCCCCGGCTGGCCAGGAAGCTACCCATATGGTGCAGCGGACCTCTCCTGACTCACCTGCTGCTCCCCTCAGCAGTGTATTTCGTCAGTCCTCCTGTTCTGCTCCCCACTCTGTCTCTCGTGAATCCTCTCACCCCTCCCCCAGCTGGCCTGTACCCCAGCTCTTGTATGCATAAATACATAGTAGGTCATATTAGGTCATCTTAAAAAAAAATAAGTGATACAGAACAAAAGCAACCATAATTTGAATTAAAAATTTAAGACCAATAAATTTTAAATTAATACTATCTTTCAGAGGAAGGGCAAAAATAACCTTTATTAAGCCATAACCAAAGAGGTACCTTGATCAGTGGTGTCTAAAGGAATTGGAATCTCGTTTTAAATCTGAAACTTCTCTGCAAGATGATCTGTTTGTAGCTTTTTATTGTACAAGTGAGAAAACAGGTTTAGCGAGGTAAAAGAGATTTGGTATCACCAGAGAGAAGTGTAGACTAGAATTGAGTCTACTGATGCACGACTTTCATAATGCTCTGTGTTTGTCTACTTTTCGAGTTACCCCTCATTCCACTTTTGGCCAGTGTAAGAGCAAATAGAGATGTGTGCCTGTAGTGTTTGCCTATCATGCTTGGCATTTTTATTGCAGTAACTGTTGGTCAAGTAAGTTTTATCTGTATCCAGATATTTTCCTCCTTCACTTCTTGCTCCTTACAGTTTTCTGATAAATCTCACCCTTTTCCTCTACAGATAATGTTGGAGCTGGCACGATTATACCTGGCACAAGACGATCCTGACTCCTGCCTGCGGCACTGTGCTCTACTTCTACAGAGTGACCAGGACAATGAAGCTGCCGCCATGGTTAGTCTCAGAGACTTCAGTGCTATAAAGTCAATTGTGTTTTTTTTTTTAATTAATTTATTTATACAAGAATTAGGGTACAGGCTAGAGGTGCAGGGGATGAGAGCATTCACCAGAGACAGAGTGGGAAACATAACAGGCAGACTGACTGAAATACACTGCTGAGGGGAACAGTGGGCGAGTCAGGAGGGGTCTGCTGCACCATGTGTGCTGCTCCCTGGCCGGCCGGGAATCAAACCAGTGCTGCAGAGGCTGTGGAGAGCTTCACAGCTCTGCGCTCAACTGGCTGCACCACTGGGGAGGCCCCAATTGTGTTTTATATTCCATGTGGATGTTTCAAATTTTACCTAGCAAAACTGATACTAGATGAGAGGTCTGACTTATGTTGACTCTTGAAGGAAATAACATTTTTAACATTAGTTTTATCAATAAAGACCAAGAATTGTTAACATTTTACTTATAAGAATGGTCAATCTGGGTCAGGCCTTTACTTGCCCTTTTAGGCATAGTTAATTTTTCTTTATGCCTAAGAGGATGCTTGGTCATGTGGAGTCCATGTGATAAAGCTATAATTTGCTAAAAACTTTTGAGTACTTATTCAGACATGCTGGGCTAATTTAAAAGTTGCTGTGGGAGTTGTGGAGTTACAGAAATAAACTTCAAATATCATTCTCAGATTGTGAATTTTAGTTTTGCTTTTCTTTCTCATTTTTACCTGGCTTGAGGTCTTCATTAGCTTTTCAAACAGCTACATAAATGAGAGTTTTTTGAGGTTCATGTGAAAGTTATTGCTGTGTCTAGAAAAGAAATATAAGAAGTCTCTTTTAAAGCATACAATAAGAAAATCTCAATACATTTTGTTCATTTTTAATTCCATTAAAATATTGAGTGGGGCCTATCTGGTGGCGTAAGGGGTTAAGTACCATACTAGGAAGCAATCTGCAGCCTCTGCAGCACTAGTTTAATCCCCTGCTGGCCAGGGAGCAACCCACATGGTGCAGCAGACCTCTCCCTGTCTCAACCACTGCTCCCTCCCCTCAGTAGTGTATTTCAGTCAGTCTGCCTGTTCTGTTTCCCACTGTCTCTGGTGAATCCTCTCACCCCCACCCATCTCTGGCCTGTACCCCAGCTCTTATATGCATAAATAAATAAATCTTAAAAAAATAAAATAAAATATTGAGTGCTTTGTTTTTTACTTTCACTCTTGTCATTTTAGTCAGATCCAGTGAGGCATCTTTTCTATGATAGCACATAGAGTGTGCAATTTCCTTTAAATTTCTGCTTTCAAAATAACCACTTGAAGCATATTTTTTGCTAAAAATATAGTTTTGTGAACAGAACAATCTGTCTCACAGCCTTGGCTATCTTGTTATACTGATCTCAGTGTTACTTTGCCTAAGGTGTGCTTGAATTTGTACAATTGGCTCCTTTTTATAAAATTCTACCCTCCTAATGTTTTTCCTACATGTTTTCATAGCACTGAATCTTAATAAGAAGAATATGCTTTGTAAAATATATGGCAATTTTTTAGAACCAGCTTTTACCTTTACAGATGATGGCAGATCTCATGTTCAGAAAACAAGATTATGAACAAGCAGTGTTTCATTTACAGCAGCTTTTAGAACGCAAACCAGGTAAATAGCCACTGATCATATTTTTCTAATGCAGTCAACCCCCGTTCTCCTCTATTCAGTTGTTATACTTGGAAAAACCCCAACCCTTGTTGAATTCAACTCTCTGCTTATTCCACACCTGCACTTGAGTAACTAAAATGGTTCCAAGGAAAATACAGCACCTTTAACTGGTCTCATTTTAAATTAGGACCTCAGACTCTAAATGGGCCCTCAGATGCTGCCTGTAATCCTCTTGTATTTCTCTAATGAATTCACTCACTCCAACTTTTTTTACTTTCTCCCATCTCCAGGAGCCTCTAATAGCACTTCCCCCTTCCTTGCCCTCAAGTGAAAACCTTGACTCCTACTTCACTGAGAAACTATGGGCAAACTGAAAGAGAACACCTCAGTCCTCCTGTCACCTCCTGCCTACTCCCAAGCCTTTGTCCTTCCCTGGCCAGTGATCCCTTCTGCAGCCAGCTTCTCCCTGTGTTCACTGTGCCAAACGTTTATCTCTCGTCCTAACTCATATACACTGTTGCCTGTTTGCATCCCCATTCACATGTCTAGGAGAATCTCAAACTTAACATGTCTAAGATAGAGTGCTTGATCTTTTCCTTCCCTCCAAATCTTCTCCTTCACTTTTCTTTTTTTTTTTTTTTAGATTCATTTATTTATGCATACAAGAACTGGGGTGTAGGCCAGAGTTGCGGGGTATGAGAGGATTCACCAGAGACAGAGTGGGGAGCAGAACAGGTGGATTGACTGAAATACACTGCTGAAGGGAGCAGTAGGCGTGTCAGGAGAGGTCTGCTACGCCATGTGGGTTAGCTCCCTGGCCAGGGATCGAACTCATGTTGCACTGGCTGGCGACAGTTTGATAGCACTGTGCCTTTAAACCCTGCGCCACAAGGAAGCCCCTAAAAAGTCCTTTTCTAAGGGTACGTCCATGACTACGAAAGATAGTGTCAAGAGTCATCTTTTAGCTAAACACAGTGCCGTGTTGAGTAAAATCAGAATTCTGATAGTGAAAGGAAGGGACGATAGCTAGGAGGCAGCCAACAGCTTGGGCAGATTACTGCCTTGAAAATATAACTTGCTATTCCTCTTCCTGGAATATGCTTTTCCTAAATATTCTCATGGCAGCTACTTTGTGCTATTCATGTCTTTGTTCTGCTATTGCCTCTTCCTCAGGGTGTCCTTCCCCGGCATCCTGCGTCAATAACACCTCTTATTGCTTGTGATCCTTTTATTATGCTTTTTGTTTGTTTTATATCACCCTTGTAAAAAGGAAAGGAAAAATTGTAAATAGTAAAATATAAGCATCAAGTAGCAGGAACTTTGTTTTCACAGCTATTTCTAGGATTTAGATCAGTGTCTGCCTGAGTTGGTGCCCCATGAATATTAGATGGAAAGAAGAGTGAGAAGAGAAAAGGGGGGGGGTGGCAGGGAGGGATGGAGGTGAAGGAAAGGGAAGAGAGGAAGAGGTGAAAACCATGTACTAGGTTACTTATATGTGTTACTAAAAATAATTTGAAATCTCAGAGGACATCCTCGATCTCTCATTCAATTCTTTAAACCCTAATCCCTTCACAAAAGCCACTGGATGGGGCAGCGTGGACAGAGGTAGCTGTACAGACAAAATACCAGATTATTCCACATGTTGTATTTACTAATGTTTTTAGTTTTTGAAAGTTTGAATTTGAGACTACTTTCTATTTATCAATAAAAAACCCCAGTTAGGGCAAATATTGAAATGAAAAAAATCCTGACTTTTTATGGTGATATCAGTGTTGTAACTTCTTTTTATTATGTCTTAACATTTTCTCCTGACTTTGGACTACCTCAGACCATTTCTTTATTTTCTACCATATATATTATATATATAAAATATAATATAATGCAGTACATAACAATATACTGAGATATTACTTAAAAGAATGCTATTAAGTACTTAAAACATGGCATATCTTTTGCTTATGAATATTCTGTATAATACCCATTGTTTAAATATGGAAAATGTTAAGGAAGCAAAATGTTTGTAACTTTGTAAGTACTACTTAAAAAGAGTACTGGCATTTGCCCTACCACCTGTCAAATAGGATGCCCATCTCCCCACCTCAGGTGCTAAAACCTTACTTTTAATTTCTTGAGACCTAAGTTTTTTTCTTTCTATCATTTCCACCTTGTGTTCTCTAACTCTGTTTTGTCCTTTTCTCTGAACTGACACTTAAGGTGATATACACATAATTTTTTCATTCTCTCTCAGGCTGTCCCCATATTTCAACATGTCCCTTTGAGTGTACTGTCCAATCTGGTTACTTAAGTAATAGATTACCTTCCCGGTCATTTGGTAAAATCACTCAAATTTTAAAATGTGCAAATGATTTCACCCAGTAATTATTGTCTTCTAGTGTTTGCCTATTTTGTAAATTTATATATGTATAAAGAAATACATGTTAGCACTGCAACAAAAGCAGAAGTTTAAAGGAGCTATTCGTAGTATATTCTAGCACGAGAATATCATTCAGCCGTTAAATAGAAAATGCAATTCAGAAGATGCTGTAACAGAACCATCTCCATGATATACTGCTAAATCGGAAAAATCAAGTTGCCAAAGAATGTGTTTTTTAAAAAATATATACAATATCTTTCAAAAGTTACACAAGAAACTACATTCTGTAACTTCTTTTTGAGAGGGGAGTTGGATGGTTTCTATTTCACTGTATATATTCTCTTTTACCTTTTACTATTGGTCTTTAACATTAGCTTAAAATTATAAAAGTAAAATCCATAGCATTGAATAAAATAAAAAAAGTACACACACACACAAAAAAAAGAAAGAAATAGACACCTTCCCTTGTGAATATTTTTAAGCCAGCAATGGCAATAGTGCCCTCAAATTTAAGACTTAAAGAAGCCCTTATTTTTCACATGAGTTTTTATCTCACCATGTTACTTGACATCAGCATATTTTTTCCCAACCACATAAAATTGCCTTAGTAGACTGATTAATTTGGAGTATTTGTAAACAAAGCAAATTATTTATAAATTCAGGATTATCACCTTATAACTCCAGAATACCAAATGACATTCTTTGCATGGTCTTTTTCCTTTTGCCATAAGGTACATTGCCCTTCTCTCTGTCTTGCCTCACAGGTAATCTAAAATATACCCACCCCTAACAAAAAGAAAAGAAAGACCACCACCTACATTGTAAGATGCCTTAGGTGATGCTGGGTTGAGTGACAGTCCACCCTGATTTGCCCAGAACTGATAGATTTCCCAGGGTGTAGGACTCAGTGCTAAAAGAAAAAGTCTCAGGCAAACTGGGATGGGTTAGTCACCCTATCATGAGTCACTTCATCCATACTTATTTATCACTTTTAGCATTTTGCTAAAAATGTTTGTATTTGTCATCTACATAATGGGCAAATTCCTTAATTTGCAGGGATAGAATCACATTCTTATATCCCTAGCCTCAGACACAGTCCAGTACATAGATGGTGCAAAGTAAATGTTAATTGGTTGAAGGGATCATCAAATGTCTTCAAAATACCAAGTCATTTAAAAATGTGAGGTTTTTATAATCTATGTGATATTTTATGTTTTTAGTCTTGTAGTCTATGCTTTACTTTTATTGTTTTTATTTTTTTTAAAGATTTATTTATTTATTTATACAAGATCCGGGGTACAGACCAGATGCATGGCAGGGTGAGAGGATTCACCAGAGAGAGTGGGGAACAGAACAGGCAGACTGATGAAATACACTGCTGAGGGAAGCAGTGGGCGAGACAGGAGAGGTCTGCTGCACCATGTGGGATTCTCGCTGGCTGGCCGCTATCAAACCCGCGCTGCCGAGCCTGCGGACAGCTTCACAGTGCGGCGCTCAACCGCCTGCATTACAAGGATGGCCCCTATGCTTTACTTTTAATAGGACTTTGCACATTTACCCACAGAACTATTTTTCAAGAATCATTATCAAACCTATACATCTGAACTAATTTTATACTTGTGCTATTGGTCATCCTCAGTAGCACATCTTGTACTTTTAAGACTGTTTTAGCTTACTTCAAAAATGTACAGTCCCACTTAACCTAGCCAGTTGAAAATTCTCCTTTTAGATCTAATTACTGCTTTTTTGATAGATTACACCTTTTATCTCTCAAAATCTCTAAGTTATCCTGAGTTCTCCCTTTTCCTCACACTAATTGGTTAAAATGTCCCATCAGTTACATCTGCTTAACAGCTATCACATCAAATCTGTCTTCTAGCCCACGGCTCTAATTAAAACCAACTCACCTTTCACCCAGATAAATGCAGAATTTCCCAACTAATCTTGCAGACTCTAGGCTCTTGCTGCTCCAGTCCATCACAGGACTATCATATTAATTCTGAAAATCGAGCCTCCCTGGTGGCACAAGGGGTTAAGATGCAACCTATGAAGCTATCTGCAGCCTCCACAGTACAAGTTCAATCCCCGGCCAGGTAGATACCCACATGGCACAACAGACCTCTCCTGACTTGTCCAATGCTCCCCTCAGCTGTGTATTTCAGTCATTCTGCCTGCTCTGTTCCCCACCTTGACTCTGGTGAATCCTTTCACCCCTCACACCTCTGGCCTGTACCCCAGTTCTTGTATGCATAAATAAAAAAATCTTTTAAAAAAAATTCTGAAAGTCAACAGCTATCCCTTTGATTAAAATTTAGGATGGCTCTCCAAGGTAAACTCTAAAATACCATGATTTTGATAATAATGCCATCCAAATTATCTTTCCCTTCAATATCTAGTTGCATCAACTAATTAGTACTCCCCATATTCTTCTCTGCTCCATATTTGTACATGCCATCTGTCTCCTGGAATGCCCTATCTAGCAAGGTCCTCTCCTAACCTTCATGATGCGCAAAGATTTGATCCTGTGTGGAACCTCTCCTGCTTCCCCAGGCAAAGAAGAATTTGAGTATTACAATTCCATAGCACTTCATTCCTTTCTTATCACTCTATACTTATTTTGATACATTCTCACTGTCCATTAATGAATATTAACTAAGTTTGTTTTAAGAATGTAATACATTTTAGTTTTCAGTGGATTCCTTCAGTGTAGAAATTTGCCTTCTGTCAAATTTCAGGGTCTGTCAAAAGACAAGTGAATATCATTTAATCAGTGGTAATTCTAACTTGAATTAGTAATTAATATATTTCAGTGATATTATAAGGAATAATTATTAAAGGAACTGGCCTCCCTATGTTGACTTTTTATAATGTTAGCAATGCCTTTATTTTAATTGGTTTCCATGGCACTACTAAGTATTATAATCCTAATTTAAGAAAGTAAGTATACTCCTAGATTTAGAGAATTTTGTAATTTGCCTGTTTTCATACAACTAGAGGACAAGGTCAGTATTCAAATCCTATTTTTCTTTTTTCTAAATTAATATATAATTAACATGTAGCATTATATTAGTTTCAGGTACTTAGCAGAATGATTTGACATTTGTGTGTATATATACACACACACAGAGTAAAATGATCACAGTAAATTCATTTACTATCTTTCACCACACATAGCTCCAATTTATTTTCTTGTCATGAGAACTTTCATCTGTTAGCATCTTTCAAATATGCAATACGGTATTATTAACTATTGTCACCATGCTAGATATTACATCCCCATGACTTATTTATTTTATAACTCAATCCTGCTTTTCTGAAGCCATATTCTTATTATGTTCTACTTTTTAGTGATAACCAAAGGCAGGAAGAACAAAATCTTGAGACCCAAGGTTATTGGTCAAAAAAGGCAAAAGGTCAATCTGGATTATTTTCACGTCATATAATAGAGTAGATGCAAAGTACTAAAAAAGATTCTTTTTTAAAATAATTCTTATAGTGGTTAAACATACAAAATATAAATGTTACCATTTTAGTCTTTTTAAGTGTATAGTTCAGTGCATTAACTACATATTCTTTGTTGTGTACCATCACTATTATCCATCTCTAGAATTTTCTCATCATTCCAATAAATTCTGTACACTAACTCCCACCTCCCCCATCCCTGGCTACCAGCACTTTAACTTTTTGTTCTATGAATTTGACTACTCTAGGTAACTCATATAAGTGGAGTCCTGTAGTAGCTGTCCTTTTGTGTCTGCCCACTTCACTTAGTGTAATTATCTTCAAGGCTCATCCATATTTCAGCATATCAGAGTTTCCTTCCTTTTTAAATAATATTCCATTGTATGTGCATACCACATTTTGTCCATCAATTTGCCCATGATGGACTTGGTTTGTTTCCATCTTTTAGCTTTTGTGAGTAATGCTCCTGTGAATACTTATATGCAGAGATTTGTCTGACTCCCTACTTTCAGTTATTTGGGGTACTTACCCAGAAGTAAAATTGCTAGATCATATGGCATCTTTTCTTTTTTCAGAATGTAGACTTAAAGATAAATTGTTTTAGGGCCTCCCTGTTGGCCTAGGGGTTAAGTCTCAGCCTGGGTTCTATCCCCGGCCAGGGAGCTAATGCACATATGGCGCAGCAGACCTCTCCTTGTCTTGCCCACTGCACCCCTCAGCAGTGTATTTCAGTAAATCCACCTGTTCTGCTCCCCACTCTGTCTCTGGTGAATCCTCTCACTCCCCATACCACTGGCCTACACTCCAGTTCTTCTGCATAAAAATAAATAATAAATAATTCTAAAAAACATAAATTGATTTAAAAAGTGTGTGTGTGTTTTAATTCTGGGGACTCACTCTATGAAAATGATCAGAATAGCTTATATAATAAGAGTTTTTATAAATCCCTTGGTGAGTATTCTGTGCTAACTGAAACTTGAGAACTCATGCACCTAAAAAATACTATTACAGGGCCTCCCAGGGCTCAAGGGGTTAAGACGCAAACTATGGAGCTATCCTCAGCCACTGCAGCACAAGTTCAATCCCTGGCCAGGGAGCCTCCCACATGGTGCAGCTGACCTCTCCTGACTCTCCCGCTGCTTCCCTCAGCAGTATATTTCAGTCAAATCTGCCTCTTCTGTTCACTTCTCTGTCTCTGGTGAATCTTCTCACCCCCTGCACCTCTAACCTGTACCCCAGTTCTTTTTTGCATAAATAAATAAATCTTTAAAAAAAATACCATTACAAAAAAGTTAAATATAAGCAAGCCATCAATAAAATACAATATTAATGTAACCATTAAAATCATGTTTTGAAGAACATGTGGTGACATTTGGGAAATGTTCACTGAATAATGTTGAATCAAAATTGAAAGCCCAGGTGTGACTCCAATTATGTATTTGTGTAAGCAAGTAACGAGTTTCTTTGCTTAGTGTTAAATATTTATAGATTGATTTTCACTCATAAATATATGAAAGGAAATTACTAAAAGGTGGTTATATCTAGCTAATGGTAATGAGTGAGATTTTTCTTATTTATATTACTTGTGTCTCATTTATGCATATTTTTGTAAATTATCATTTTTACAAACTTAAAAAATATATGAAATTATCCTCAAAACATATTTTATATGTATGATGATAGCTGTTAGCTATACTTACTGTGGTGATCATTTCATAATATATATTAATATCTAGCAATTTATGTTTTACTCTCTGAAACTAATATAATGTAGCATTTTAATTGAAAAAAAAAGCCTTAGTATTTTAGTGATGAGAAAGAACTGTAAAGAATTAGGAGTAGAAGGTTTTCTAGGAAATAATACCTAAAATCAAGTAACTAAATCAATTCTTTTTCCTTAGTAGAAAATAAAATAGGATTCAAATATTGGCACTAATGTTAAGTTTGTAGTACAGTAAGTTAGTGTCTACACTATAAGTTTCCTAAAGGAAACTCTAAAGTGAAATTTCTAATTGCCCACCCCAAATATTAAAATGTATTGTTTTCACCTCTTCCTGGCTGCAGTAAGTGGGAAAATAGGTCTCCGAGATAGACTTACTCCATGTAATTAAGCTAATCTTCCTGAATTTTGCAGTGAGAGTTTAGATTATCTATGCAGAGACTGTTTCTAGAAGGTTTTTATCTCAGGAACTGTTGAAAAAGCACTTGCAACAAATGTCCATTTTTATGGAGTTACCTGTATACAACCCTTTCTCACTGTGACCAGACCAGTCCAAACTTTATCATTTAGATAATCCATTTACCCATGTAGTCTCTGGACTAAAAATTGCTCAGGTATTTCTTCACTTATATTTAAATTACTCTTTATTTGAAGTAAAGGATACTAAGGAAATAAGGATAACCATCGAAACAAAAGCTATAAAATATTGCCAATAACTGAAATATTATTTGTTTCCAGATAACTATATGACGTTATCTCGTTTAATTGATCTTTTAAGAAGATGTGGAAAACTCGAGGATGTTCCAAGATTTTTTTTAATGGCTGAGAAACATAACTCCAGAGCAAAATTTGAGCCAGGATTTCAGTACTGTAAAGGATTACATCTTTGGTAAATCTATTGGCAAATATATCCTACATAATTTTGTTTCTCATTGTGGCTAAAGTAGGATAAGCTCTTCTTTATGTTAAGAAATTCAGTAAGGTTTTCTTTTTATTAAAATGTATCTAATGATATCTATATTTTAAAAATATGTTCATAGTTACAAATTACAAACAAAATCATAGTTACAGATTATAAACAAATTAAAATTTGTAGTAACTGATTAAAATAAATGACTTTTTTTTACATATAACAAGGTACACTGGAGAACCAAATGATGCTCTTCGACACTTTAATAAAGCTCGGAAAGATAGTGACTGGGGCCAAAATGCCCTTTATAACATGATAGAAATCTGTTTGAATCCAGATAATGAAACTATTGGAGGTGAAGTATTTGAAAATCTGGATAAAGACCTGGGGTAAGTAGTGTTTGACAAATTCTTTTTTTTGGAAACAGTTGTTTGGCATAATAAGCAAGGATATCTTACCAAAAAAATGCTAAATTGGGCCTCCCTGGTGGCGCAGCGGTTGAGCGCTGGGTTGCGAAGCTGCCCGCAGCCTCTGCAGCGCCAGTTCGATCCCCAGCTGCTCCCCGGCCACCAGAGGAGGGTCCCACATGGCGCGCAGACCTCTCCTGCCGCCCGCTGCTCCCCTCAGCAGTGTACTTCAGTCCCTCTGCCTGCTCTGCTCCTCGCTCTGGCTCTGGTGAATTCTCTCACCCTCCGGCGCTTCTGGCTGTACCCAGTGCTTGCATAAATAAATAAATAAATCTAAAAAAAAAAAAAAATTGACTTTAAAAAAAAAATGCTAAATTTTAGGATAACACTAATAATAAAAGGTCAGATGAATAAGACACGATTAGAATAACTGTTCTCTGAAACAAGGATGAAACACTTTTAGGTTTCCTAAATAAGGATAGACATGCTCTGAAGAAGATAGTATAAATTACAGAATTTTATTATTTTAGCCAAAAATTTCCAAACAGTATTAGTTAAGTCTTTAACAAATGGTAGTTGTTTGCCAGCCCCTGTGCTGACTACTTTATATGCATTCTTATTTATTCCCTATAATAATATTGTGAAAGAAGCTCAGAGCTAATGTGTCTAATGTGATTCAGTGGGTGAATGGTGGATGCACGATTGTGGGCTGAGTTCTACCTGGATGCAGAGGCCCTGCTATCAGCCACTGTGGTGCACTGCTAGCAAATGGTTATAAACCTGTGTTTGCTACTTGTCTTCAGAATTGGGCATGGCCTGGTGGGGGTGTGTGAGACATAGATGTGAAAGAAGTGGTCTCTGCCTTCAGGAGCATGTAATTTACTGAGGAGACAAGATGATATCTGAAATCACTCAACTCCAACTAAACAAGTGGTTTAAATGGATATTAAGTGTTGTGCAAAATCATTGAAATCGTTAACAGTACAAAGTGTCAGGGTAACGTGAGAGAAAACTAAAACCTGAGAGGTTTCAATAGCAGATTTTAAGGCTTGGATGATAGAGACCATTGAAAATTTTACAGCAGGGAAATAGCATGTTTTTAATGTTTGTTTTAGGAAGATTCAGGTAACGTATTATTATGTAACTCAAGACTGTCCCCATGGAAATCTTCAGCGAGCAGTTGAAAATGCACAGCTAGAACTCAGCAGGAAGGTCACAAGTAGAGATACAGATTTGGGAGTCAGGTGCTCATGGTAGATAATTGGAACCCCATGAATGGTCTCTTTGTGAGTAAAATGTAATAGAAGTAAAATGGGAGTAAAATTTTAGACATGCTAACGTTTGGAGGGACTGATAGAGAAGTGAAGGTTAGAAAAAGACAATCACTACAGTACAAAGAGAAACGATGTGTTACAGGATCCAGAGGATAGGAACTTTGAAGAAGGAAGCCAACATTAAAAATGTTTGAAAGAAAATAGAAGCCTAAGGCCTGAGAAAAAAGAGCAATGGCTCGGGCCTCCCCGGTGGCGCAGCGGTTGAGCGCTGGGTTGCGAAGCTGCCCGCAGCCTCTGCAGTGCCGGTTCGATCTCCGGCTGCTCCCCGGCCACTGGAGGAGGGTCCCACATGGCGCGCAGACCTCTCCTGCCGCCCGCTGCTCCCCTCAGCAGTGTACTTCAGTCCTTCTGCCTGCTCTGCTCCCCGCTCTGGCTCTGGTGAATTCTCTCACCCTCCCGTGCTTCTGACTGTACCCAGTGCTTGTATAAATAAATAAAAATAAATCTTTAAAAAAAAAAAAAATCAATGGCTCAATGATTGGGCTTTTGAGAGTTTAAATTCCGTTGAATTAGTTAATATTAAAGAAAAATAAGAACATTGCTATATTCAAATTGTTATTATACTTGAAATTTATGACCTTTTGACATATATAATTTCTGAGAATCTGATAGGCAATTGGGTGATGAAAATGAAGTATACTTTATATATCTAATGAGCTTAGATTAAAATCAAATATTTACCTTATTAGTTGTGTGACCTTTGGCAAGTTGGTTCACCAGTTGGAATCTTAGTTTTCTCATATATAAATTGGATTCTGCATAGATTGAGGAGAGTAACACAGTGTTTATTAGCAAGGGGCGGGGCAGCTGGGGAGGGGAGGGGTGTTCTTCAACAAAGCTAGTTACTTTTTGCTCCTTTCTTCCCTTGCATTTTCTCAATAGGTGATAATTGTCTGAGTCTACTTTTCCTGATTCTCATTTTGTATTCACCGAAATGAACACACTTGCACATGTAGTGTCTAATTTTTTTCTTTCGTCTAGAGTGATTAAATGTGTAATGGTGTTTTATTGAAATATATTAATTTCATTTAAAAATGCATTATAACTGTGTTTCACTTTGTGTTCAAAGAGAATATGACATTCTTCAAAAAGGATTACTTTTAAATTAGTGACAAAAAAAGAAACCAGTGTACCCTAGAGTTCATTCTAACCTCAATGAATTTTACTTCATGAGTAATAGACATGGAAATTTCTTTTTAATTGTAAACAGTAATTCAACTGAGAAGCAAGAATCTGTGCAATTAGCAGTAAGGACAGCAGAAAAACTCCTTAAAGAACTAAAACCTCAGACTGTTCAGGGTCATGTACAGCTTCGAATAATGGAAAACTATTGCCTGATGGCTACCAAACAGAAATCTAATGTTGAGCAAGCGTTGAACACCTTTACTGAAATAGCCACCTCTGAGGTTAGTAGATGTTCTTTATCACCTTCATGCATTATCTTTCCTTGGTTGTACACAATATGCATTTGAAATAGTTTTCTATTTCAAAATAGTTTTCTGAAAATTAGTGTAATTACTTGCTATTATTAAAAATTAGAGATACAGTTTGATATAATTTTACACAGTGTACCTTTGTTGGAAAAGAAACAATGTTACTATTTTGATGTGTTATTGATATTTTTATCTCCATTAGAGAAAGGAAGTTCTTCCAAAGAGCATAACTTAATTCTCAAGGGAACAGCTTTATCCTCTCAAGAGTTTTGTTTTGCAACCTAGGTTAACTTACTAAATAAAAATAAATACCTGGCTGCCTTGTGATCTCACCCTTCTCACTTAAGTGAACTTGACATTTTTCCAACACTTAGGGCTATGTGAGATCTGTACTGACAGCGACAACTTATAATTCAGCCATGCAAATAATGGAGTTCCTTAGCAACACTGAGAAAACGTGGCCATAATGGTAATAACAACAGTGTTGTTGCTGTTATTACATCAAGGCTTTCTTCTCTTTTTACCCCACTCAGATCTACCTCCCTTCTCTCTTTCTGGTAGTCTTTTTTTTCCTTCTCTCACACAATGCAGTATTTCTTCAATTGCTTGATATTCAGTGGATTTCATGTTCCTCCACTCAACAGTATTTGTAGCCCACCCAAGACTCCTAACTTTGTGTTTCTTAGAGGATATACAGAGTTTTGCTGTGGTTCAGAGGTCATAGTGGTGCATTATACTACCAAAAACCTCCTACTCTAACCCATTCTCCTTGCCTTTCAAGACTCTGAAGCCTTTGGGAAGCCCACAGTCCCCAATGCTGTTGGGGTACGAGTGTCCTAGAGCAGAGCTCTTCTGCTGACATTGAAGTAATGTTCTCAGGGCTAGTGCTCTGTCAAATTGTCTGTGTGGCAGCAGACGGGTGACAGCAAATGGGTGATTGAGCAGAGACCAGCAGTAGGACCATCATAAACTAAGAAAATCTGTAAAAACACAATGAAGCAGTATTTCAAGTAAGGTGTCAAAGCTACCAAATGTTGTAAAGTGGCATTCTATCATGTAATGAGAATGTCAGCCATGATATTTGAAAGACCAACAAAAACAGTGAGTGACATCACCATTATTTTCTATAAAGACGGGCAACTTCTTTTGGGCGAGTGCATTATTTTTTATCTTTCTTTATATGTGATTAGTAATATACTATCCTTAAATCCTTACTGACTATACTTTCCAAAGACTGATATATGAACTGAAATTTCAAAAACAGCAAATTTTAATGTTATGTTTTTCTTTTAACTCATACGCTGCATACATTAAATATAGTGAATATTCATTAAGCAGCCAGTGGTGCTGAGCCCAGTGGAAATCACAAAAATAAACAATGTCTAGTGCCTTTCTTCAATCTAGAGAAGCTGAGACATGCATAGTGACTGTAGTACAAAGCAAAATGTATTACATTCTGTCCTAGAATGCAAATAAAAGTATCATAGGAGAAAGTGTAAGGAAGGTACCTTTTGTGGAGATGGTATGGTCTAAGAAGTGCCAGGCAAAGTTACACTCTCACAGGCAGAGATGTAGAAATGCATTCTGGTTTTAAGGGAGGGTATGGAGAGGCAGGAAAGCAAAGAGTAAATTCTCAGCATGATGTAGTATTCAGATGGACTGAAAAAGAGGTGACAGGATGTCCCAAGAGGAGCCAGTAAAAGATACATTAAACCCAAGGAACATGTTTCCACTTGCTTTCTTCCTCTCACCTGGAACCATAAAAGTATCTTGTTTTCAATTGCATTATATAGTCCTTTTGTGATCATAAGTCACAGGGTTGAGAGATTGAGATAGAAAGAGAGGTCGCTGCAGCATTGAGAGAATGAGATGGAAAGAGAGAAACTGGCTGACCCTGGCTAGGATGTTTGCACCAGAAAAGCTACCGTGGGCTAATGCTGATGGTAGAAATCAGTTTTGCAGTTTTAGAGACTATTCTTCAGTGCATTAGGGAGTGATGAAGCTGGGAGGAATTGACTCATTCTAATGAAACTCAAGATGTGTGATTTTAAAATCAAGAAGCTTATTTTTAAATGTATAGTGTAGGATGTTTTCAGTATGTGAATAAACGTGGGCAGTGTTAAACAGAACTCTTCTGGGCTGTATTGGACTTGGCTGACAAAGACATAGAAAGCCTCTGTTTTCAGTTCTCTCTAGCACGCTTGGGGTGAGGCTGGTGCTCAATAATTGATAATAATACTCATGTAGCTACAGAATCTACTATCACTTGATCAGATGTGTCACTCAAACTTTTTTGCCATTCCTTAATTAGGGAAACAAATGATATACTAGAAATTTATGGCTACACATAGAATTACAGCCACGGTACTGTAGTTTTATATTCCTAAAAGCTGATCTCATCAACCTCTAATGAGATGTTCTATTCAGGGTCTTTTTCCTGACTTGGAACCATGAATAGTGTTGGATTTTCAATATTTTTCCACTCTACTCTCCTTTTGCAAAATTACTTATTAGCTACCCAAACTTGCTACCTTACCTTTATTATAGGCATAATATTGTAATTTCTAAATCATATTTTCTCATCTTTTATTTGTATTTTAAACTGAAGTTTTTTTCTTTATAAAAATATTACAGTCCCTTTCCAAAATTAAGATGTACTGTAACTTTTTCAGGGACATACACATTATTGCTTAGGTAAGTTGATTTTCTCAATAGGTTGTTAATGGCCTCCATTTTATACCAATTCTTATTAGCGTGTTGATTTCAGAGTGGCTTTTTTCTGACTTTGAACTCTGTCTAAAAGACCATTTTTATAGACACTATCAAGAAGCTGCAGACACAAAATCTAAAATCATTTTTAAGGCATGAGTTTATTTCATATAATTTCCAAATAATTAATTGCATGCCTCATTTGTAATACTTTATTGGTCAAATCTTATTGGGAGATGAAGCTTTTGACTAAAATGAGAAGGGAGTGCAAAGGAGCACTTATTGTCAATATAGATAAAGACTATAATTTTATTCCTGTATTGTGTATTCCTGTTTTTTTTTTAAGTGAAAGAACTAAGGAACCAGCATACTAAACTTGAAATTCACATGCTTAATTAGGATTCCACTGAAAAAGAAATTGTTTGATTTCTGTTTCTATACAAAACTTTAACAGCCAATCAGTTGCCTTAATTGTCTGAAAATGTGTGGTTATGGTATCTAGATACTTATTGAATTATCTTGATTCCATATGGTGCCTGGCCCAAATTTAAGGTCACTTGATGTGTTAAATAATGACTTTCACAGTTATCTGTGTGGAGCCAGAAATAAAATACACCGGCAATTCTTATTTCGTGTAGCACTTGCTACTTAACATGTGTTTTCCTTTTAAACATAGGACATTTATGTTTTTGTATCCAGGGGTTAAAATTTTATTTTCTTACAGAAGGATCACATTCCAGCACTATTGGGAATGGCAACAGCTTATATGATCTTAAAACAGACTCCAAGAGCCAGGAACCAGCTGAAACGGATTGCAAAAATGAACTGGAATCCTATTGATGCAGAGGACTTTGAGAAGAGTTGGCTGCTACTTGCTGATATTTATATTCAATCAGCAAAATATGACATGGCAGAAGAACTTTTAAAACGGTGCCTGCGTCATAATAGGGTAGGTGATTAAAAAGTTATTGTTAACGTTAGTTGTGTAAGTTTTCAATAATAAATGGATTAGTGTTGGTCCATTTCTAAGAATTTCTGTGTCTTTTTGGAAAATTAAATGTTTTTTTTCCCAAAGATTTATTTATTTATGCATACAAGAACTGGGATACAAGCTAGAGGTGTTGGGGGGTGAGAGAATTCACCAGAGACAGATCGGGAAACAGAACAGGGAGATTGACTGAAATACACTGCTGAGGGGAGCAGCAGGCGAGTCAGGAGAGGTCTGCTGCGCCATGTGGGTAGCTCCCTGGCCTGCCGGGGGTCACTCATGCTGCAGTGGCTGCAGATAGCTTCATAGGTTGTATCTTAACCCCTTGCACCACCAGGGAGGCCCTTAAATGTTTATTCTCAACGTAATCAGGAAATACACATTAACAAAAAGAGAAATTAGAGATTTATGCAGTCTCAAGTTTCAGCTGTGGTGTTCCAAATAACAGAAGATATTTTTTGGAATGTTACCCATGTCATCCCAGAACCAATGAAAATAGCAAAAGATCACTACAGACATATGTCCCTCAACTAAGAAATACTCTTGAGGGGCCTCCCTGGTGGCACAAGGGGTTAAGCACTGCACTAGGAAGCACTCTGCGGCACGAGTTCGATCCCCGGCTGGCCAGGAAACAACCCACATGGCGCAGCAGACCTCTCCTGACTCGCCCACTGCTCCCCTCAGCATTGTATTTCAGTGGATCTGCCTGTTCTGTTCCCCACTCTGTCTCTGGTGAATCCTCTCACCACCGTGTCTCTGTCCTGTACCCCAGCTCTTATATGCATAAATAAATAAATAAATCTTTAAAAAAAAAAGAAATATTCTTGAATTTACTGTAGCTGCATGTTGTTTGCACATATTAGAATCCAATGTACATAATACATTTTGTGGGGAGAAGTATTCTTAGTATTTAATTTGATTTGTTTATTAACAAAAATATGTTTGTACCTAAAGATATTTAGGTACAAAATTAAAATCCTTAAAATATAAACTTTCTACTAATAGGCATTTTAGTGTTTAATTATAAAAAAGGATGTCTTATTTTTTTTAAGTAAAGATTTTTTTATTTGTTGAGAAGGAATTATAGTCAGCTTGGAAACTTGAGGATATTTGTCTTGATGGATTCATATCAGTTAATTCTGAATCATAATTACAATAGAGATTCGGGTTTATACTCTGTGGGTGAAAAAAATGATTCCTTTTTAAAGAGGATAATCTAATACAATTTATTTTCTTAGAATCTTTAGAACCTAAAACAGCAAGCCATTTATGAATTTATAGACTATTCTGAGTGATCTGTTTCATCTACTTTTAGGTTAAATTGACCTTAAAAAGCAGAATATTCATTAATAGGCTTTGAAAAATCTAAATTGCTAGTAGTTAGCCCATACGTGCTAATGTGGGATTAAGCAAGATTGCATGGGATTTAACATTTCCATGCAGACAGAATTTCAGTTTGCTTGCACACTGACAGCAGTAAGCTGCATGGTTAAACATGACGGTTACTTTAGAAGTGTCAGCCCTGCTGACTGGGCATGCTCATATTGGAAGCAGAAAATTCAGGAACTAAAGATTAGAAACCTTGAATTATAAAATTAAAAAATGGAGATCTTCCAGATCTGGGGCAGGAAATGTACAAGATGACATTAGACCATCTTGTTAAACCAGATGGCAAGGAAGCTATCAAAAATGATTAGAGTTATATCAAGTACTCAGGAGCCAACATGAAGATGCTTCCATTAGCTGAAGTTGTGGCATTTTAATTATCAATAAGAATAATAAATGCATTGAATCAAAACATCCCAAATATATTTAAATCCATGAATTCACAAAAACAAAATAAGAAGGAAAAAACCCTCATTGGTCACCACTGAAATGTACTAATGCACTGACCATTATTTCTAAATCTGGCAAATAAAGAGAAACAGTGAAGCATTTGTCTTGGCTTTTTGTGTGAACTACTGGGTAATAGTAGAAAAAGAAATGTTTCTCATTATAGATATTTTCCAGCTAATAAATGAAAAATTGATGGAATGTTACCATTTTCCAATCTTGATGAATAAATGAATGGATATAATATCATAGAGAATCTGATATTATGTGCCTCATGGTGGAAGAACATGCCATCTGTGACAGTGCCAGACCAGGGAGAAACAAATAAAATACTTACTTTGGGTCCACAGTTTAAAGGAGTACTTAAAATCTCAGTAATTGCCTTAGTTAACTGGTGATGCTAGAACAAAGTACCATATACTGGTGGCTTATAAACAACAGAATTTTCATTTGTCACAATTTTGGAATGGAGGTCTAAGTTCAGGGTGCCAGCATGGTTGCATTCTGGTGAGGACTCTGCAGGATTGCAGGCTGCCAGCTGCGCATTGGGAGGAGAGGGCAAGACAACTTTCTGGGGTTGTCTTAAACTACATGAGATATTCGATACTTTACTGTAAAATAGACTTTGTGTTAGATGATTTTGCCCAGATGTAGGCTAATGTAAGTATTGTGAGCACATTTAATGCAGGCTAGACCAAGCTATGATGTTTGGTAGTTAGGTTAAGTGTATTAAATGCATTTTCAGTATTTTTTCCCAGAAAATACCTAGAGAGGTATTTTTTCTTTCCTACAGAGGAACACTGAAATATTTATGAATGAAATGATATAATATCTGTATTTTTTTCTGATAATACAGAATGCCAGGTGAGGTAGAAGTATAGCAGTATTAGTCCTAAGTTAATTTATTTTTATTCTTAAAGATTTATTTATTTATGCATACAAGAGCTGGGGTACAGGCCAGAGGCGTTGGGGGTGAGAGGAGTCACCAGAGACAGAGTGGGGAGCCGAACAGGCAGATCGACTGAAATACACTGCTGACCGGAGCAGCAGGCAAGTCAAGAGAGGTCTGCTGCGCCATGTGGGTAGCTCCCTGGCTGGCCCGGAATCCAACTCGTGCTGCAGTGGCTGCAGTTAGCTTCATAGGTTGTGTCTTAACCCCTGCACCACCAGGAAGGCCCCTAAGTTAATTATTGAAGATAAGTTCTAGGTTGATTAGATTCGCTATACCATTATTTCTATATTTATGTGTTGATATAACTTGTAATAAAAAGTATATAGGTGCATGTGTAAAATATACATGTCTTTGCCTCTCACCCAAAAATCTTGGTTCTATGGGTTTATGGTTGGAACTTGGCAACAGAACCTTTTATTATGTCCCATAGATGATGTGATTACATAGCCAAGGTTGAAAACTGTTTTATATGCCATTTAAATAAGTTAATGAAGTTGGTTGCTGTAATTATAAGCGCCCTATAAATATCTTAGTATCAAGTGTAAAGTGGTTATCAAGTTAAATCTGTTGATACATCTTCCATTTTTCTTCAGTCTTGCTGCAAAGCTCATGAATATATGGGATATATTATGGAAAAAGAGCAGGCATATACAGATGCTGCCTTAAACTATGAGATGGCATGGAAACATGGCAATCAGACACATCCAGCAGTAGGTGAGTTTGACATATTAAATACTAGATTTTCACAGGAAAATTTGTGTTTTATTTGTAAATCATCACTTATATGCATTTGATTTTCTTTTTAAGAACAAAATATACATTGAGTCAACTTTCTTTGTCACTCCTTAGAATTTATATTCATAGTAGATTATTGACTACTAATAGTTATTATGTATAATTTTCTGAGATTCAAACTCCTGAGTCCCCTCAGAGGACATCTCACTAAATTCCTCCCCTTTCTCTCCCTTCACCCTCTGCTATTTCCAAAATGGCAGTGCTATCAAGTAAATTAGGAAGACAAAGCATGGATTCAAGTTCCACAGGTTTCTTCACTGAAGAACTCCTCCATGCTTTTAAACCCTGATGTATATTGTTATGGATATCACAGAGGGGACATGTTTCCCATAGTAATTTGACTGTGGACTTTCTTTATCCTCCTAAACATCTACAAGCATGATCTTGTTCCAGTGGTAGACTATTAACTTGAGAAATGATTTCTGCAAGGTGGCATCCAGAATATACTTAGTGACTAGCCTCAGCACACATTGTGAGAGACTTCATCCCCATACTCTTCTGCTCTGTCTTTATATTGAGCTGAAATATGCCCAGTTTTGTTCTCTGGAGCAATCAACAGAGTCCTTTCCCTGTTACATAAGTGACCCTCTAATTGCAAACTCTCCTAAGGCTTCTTTTCAAACCATCCTCAGTTACATTCCCATTCTTTCTGAGACTTGCTTTTTCTTTTTTTTTTTTTAAGAAAAAACCTCTTTTCTTTTTTTTTAAGATTTATTTATTTATGCATACAAGAGCTGGGGTACAGGCCAGAGGTGTGGGGAAGTGAAAGGATTCACCAGAGACAGGATGGGGAACAGAACAGGCAAATCAACGGAAATACACTGCTGAGGGGAGCAGCAGACAAGTCAGGAGAAGTCTGCTACACTGAGTGGGTTGCTCCCTGGCTGACCAGGGATGGAACTCATGCTGCAGTCACTGCAGATAGCTTCATAGGTCGCGTCTTAACCCTTGCAATACCAGGGAGGCCACTCTTTTCTTTTTAAATCATATTTTTAATAAAAAAGATTGAATTATCTCCACAGTCTCCTGTGCTCTTCCCTTCCCTATCTTGACCCCTCTCCCTCCTCCTTTCCTCCTGTATGCCTCAGAGCTGTGGTCACCTTGCAGGTTCTGTCTTTTTCCTGACTTTCTGTTCGGTTTCTCTATATTCTGCACATAAGTGAAACCATCCGATATTTATTTTTTCCTTCTGACTTATTTCATTTAGCATAATCCCTTCCAGCTCCATCCATGTTGCCACAAATGGCATGAGTTTACTTATTTTTTTGATCACTGAGTAGTATTCCATTGTGTATATATACATCTTCTTGATCCATTCATCTATTTGGGGGCATTTATGTTGTTTGCATATCTTGACTATTGTAAGTAGTGCTGCAATAAACATAGGAGTGCAAGTTTCATTTCAAATTAGTGTTTTTGTGTCCAATGAGTAGATTTCTAGGAGTAGAAGTGCTGGGTGGTAGAACTATGGGAACTACACCTGAGGGGAGAAATTAAATATTGTCCAAAAATTAACAACAGTATAAAAATGAATTAAAGTTTATAGAAGTTGAATTAAAGCATGAAACTTACTTTTGAGTCTTTTACCTTCCTTGATGCCCTCTTCTGGAAACTAAAATAATGTTTCTCATACTTCATGAGATTAATAACTATTTCTGTAAGTAAAATGGTGGGGGGGGTGGGGGTGGTTTGAAAGAGTTGAGTATGAGATTCCATGGCCAGATAAGTTTAATTTGGAAAACGTTATATTTGTCCTTGTTAATCCTGTTGTGTTGTACCAGAAATGAACAAGTTCTTAAGAATGATGTAAGAAATAGTTGAATGTGTAATGAAGCTCCTTTTTAAGTATACTTAGTGGTTGTTAGTTTAGCCTAAGATGCCATTTGTCTTTCTAGCAGCCATGTCACACTATGGACTCAGATTTAATTTGCACTCAGACAGGTAATCTTTACGCTAAATGCTGTCAGTTTAGGACTCCCCCTACCTTGTATTTTTCAGGAGCCTGTTGTTTGACCAGATTTGTATAGAGCACAGGAAGTAAAATTTGTTAATAGCATTTTTTCTTCTTAGGTGTTGTCCATCTTACAGAATAAAGTCAGCTTGTAGAGTGAAAATTCCTTAGCATCTTTAAAATATATGTAATTCTGACAGTTTATTCCACAGAAAAGATTCATTTAAAAGTTTTTTTTTTAGATTTATTTATGCATACAAGAGCTGGGGTACAGGCCAGAGATGCGGGGTTGGGGGGTGAGAGGATCCACCAGAGACAGAGTGGGGAACAGAACAGACAGACCGACCAAAATACACTGCTGAGGGGAGCAGCGGGCGAGACAAGAGAGGTCTTCCTCGCCATGTGGGTTTCTCCCTGGCCGGCCGGTGATTGAACCCACGCTGCAGAGGCTGCGGATTGCCTCATAGTGCGGTGCCCAACCCCTTGTGCCACCAGGGAGGCCCCATTTAAAAGTTATTATTTAAATATTTTGTTCCTTGAAAAATTTCAGCAAATATAGAGATTCCAAATTACTATTTCTTTTCATTGAGTCATCTTTGTATTTTATAGATGTTTTTTATCAGTGATTCCAACTTCTCCTTAGTAAATAAACATTTCTCTGAGATTCTTGATTCTTTAGTTTCCTTATTAATATTATCATTCCATCCATTACACCCCCAATCTGCCTGGTCAAGTTAATAATACAAATAGTTTTTCACTTGTCAGGATATACTTAAAAAAAATCATGGTCACATTCTGTCTATGGGATTCAGGCTTGAGTAATGTTACAGTGTTCTCAATGAACAGCAACTGAGGTTCAATGAGAGAACACATTCATGTTTCTCCCGTCACACACAGTCTCAGCTTAAATGACAGTCATTAGACTATTTAATTTCTCATGTTCCCTTTCTCTCATTTGTCTCCTGATTACAGAGCTGAATTTTTACAAGCTTGACAGGTATAATGCAGCTGCTGTACACATGTTCTTTGACATTTCTAGTCCTTTATTTCCTCTCAAAATTTTTAAACAAAATCATCTATCAAGTTTCTTCAGACATTAATACTTTGTACTTCTAATTTAGAATTTGCACAGAAAAAAATTGCTGGTATTTGTGTGCTACTCCAAAGTTTTTTAACATTTTTTAGTATTTCATTTGGTCTTCAGAATTACAAGGTTTGGGGAAAGGAATTTTTATCTCCGTTTTGGGATGTGGGAACTTGAAATTAACCAGCTCAAATGATTTGCCTAATGTCTCAAAGCTAATCAGAAAGGCAGAAACCAAAACTTAAATCAAGGTTTTTTGGCTCTTAATTTCAGGTAAAGTATTTTTGGAATGACATCTTAAATTGTTTTCCTTTTCAAATATCTCAAACTACTTGTTAGTACATTTTAAAATTCCTTCATAATGATGTCAGGTTTACCTTTCTGAGGATTGTTGTTTTATATTTGAAAGTTCTATGTGCATGTGTGTACGTGTGTATCGAAGACATAATTCGTATTTCACATTTTGCTACCACATGATTACATTGCCCAGTAGTTCTTTTCAAACATTTGTTTAAAATTTGTTCTAGAACTTTGATTAGAGACCAAGGGCAGCGTTCAGATTTCCCTATTCAAATCTCTTAGAGGTAAATTGAAATATTATGTCATGTTATATCTTATTGAGTACACTGCCATTTTTCTTGTCTCCTTAGTTTGCTTACTCTTAGAGCATTCTCATAGCAGAATAATAATCATTTAAGAAACGTCTTAAAACTTTCTTTGGAATTTTTTGTATTTGGAGCATGACCTTTCAGTATCAGTAATTATGATTATTGTTGCTAATCACTGATTTGGAGTATCTTATAACTAATCATTTCCCTTCTGGGCTGCTCTCTAACCTGCTGTGCCCACTCACCTTGTACTCTAGATGCAATTGCCTATTTGTTTGTCCACCACTGGTCTTTACACTTTTACTCCGAATCACAGAGTAATAACCACCTTGGCCTAGTTTATGTTTATCTTTCAGTTTTCCAAAATCATCTGGCATCCACCCTCTCCAACTAAGTTTCTTGTTATACCTTTCCAAGACTTGTTACAGGGTCCTGCTTAGCATATATCTCAGTTTTGAAATTGTTCATTTACTTACATAATTACTTAAGAAATGCACTTTTTTCCCTCCTCATAATATAAACTTCATGATAGTAGGAACCAGTTTGCCTGTCATGTTAAGTGCTAAATAAATCAATACAATATAAATGAATAAGCTATGTTATTAACTGCCCTATGATGAGTCTTTATCATAATCTGAAATAAGTGAGACTTTTTTAATAAGTTGAAACAGTCACATCTGTGGGATAGAATCTAACACAACAGTATATCCACTATGGCCTTTTTTTCAAATTCATTTTCTTTCTTGCCTATTCTCCTTTCATGTAAGCATCCTCTTATTATCTCATCATTTCTCCATCATTGTATGGTCACCATCCTCTGTTATGAGTTCTCTAATGAATAAGCAAACAAAAGCATAGACAAAGAAAAGTAATGCAAGCAGCCAGTATGCTTTAAGAATAGTACTGTATCATTGTGGTGTTTTGTCTTAACAGGATACAAACTGGCATTTAATTACTTAAAAGCAAAAAGATACGTGGATGCAATTGACATATGTCACCAGGTAACACTTAAATTTAGATTTGTTAAAATTTTTCAGGTGCATAATGCCCTACTTTTAGTTACTCTCAAAATTCCAAGAATGAAGATAGAGGATCTACCGTTTTGGTTAAATGACTCATCAAACATATCCTAGAGACATTAGCAGTTTTTGAAGTTTAGAAAATAATTTGCTTAAGCCAATCATAAATTTTTAATTTTAATTCAAAAACAAGATGTCTAGTAAATTTAAATCAGAATAGAGGAGAAATATGTTAAATGAGACTTAATCTTTAAATCAGAAGATATTTGAGGATTATTAGAGTCTCTAAGCCATTGTTCTGAATAGAAGTTCTTGTGAATGTGTGTCTAAAGCTGCTAATTAGGGAATTCAGATTCATAAGTTAATGAATATTTAGAAGTCACTCAAATTGATACCCGACTAAATGATCCCTTACTAAAATGACAAATATTACAGTTTGTAATTTGTAATTTTTTAATATATACAGTGGCCTATTGATATTCCATATAAGGCTTTATGTTAAACTTAGGTACTCCAAAAAAAAAAAGACTACTTAGAAAAGAATTATGTAATGTCCCTTATCCCAGATAGCTGTGTCAGCTTCATTATAGTAATACCTTGGTGATTGCTATTGATCAGAGTCTCTGTACATCAATATTTCACATAAGGTTACAGCTGTACATTAACATAAGATTATACATTATGATCATTTGTGGAATTCTTGTTTTTAATGAAACTCAGTAGGCCTGTAAATGTGTATGTTTCAAAATCATTCCAGTTAAATCTGATATGTGTTAATGGTTAAATCTGATATGTGTTAATGGTTAAAAATAACTCAGTACCTGTTTATTAAATAACGTATATCAATAGCTAAATTGCAAATATATTTTATATCATTGGTACGTATTTTTTCCTACAATAATTAGGTATTATTATTTCATGTCATCTTTAAAAAGTATTGTTGCATTGTAGTATTAATGCAATGTTCATTTCTGCTAAGTTTTGTAACTTCCCAGTTCCTGGTAAGTAATTACAAGTTCTTATGCTTTTTTTATTTTAGTGTGGCTTGCATTTTTTTCTTTTGTTTTTTGTTTTTGCTTTTTTTACAGGTTCTTGAAGCACATCCAACTTATCCAAAAATCAGAAAGGATATACTTGATAAGGCCCGTACATCTTTAAGACCTTGAAAATGAAAGAAATCTGAGTTCTTCCAGTTCAAAATAGGTTTGAGTTAATACTTTGTAATAGGAACATAGTTCTCTTTCTCCAGCAGAGGCTGCTCTTGCATATATAAAGAGAAATGCTATGTCAAATGGATGTTTTCTGTGGAGAAGGTGATTGAGAGCTGGTTTATTTGGTGTCTCTGTGCTCGAGACTATAACCCATCTATATAAAGAATATGTTGTTAAAATCGAGGTAATTAGGTATCTGATCTTTTCTGAGGAATATTCTTTATTTCAGGAAATGTGTGTAAAATGTTATTGTTGTCTGTTCAATATTTTGTAACATTTTCTTTTGTTTTAGAGGCTTGAGTAAATTTCCTTGTAAATGATATGTGAAAAGAAAACAGATTTTAGTGAAGATTTTATAAAGTTATGGTTTGTATTCCTTTTGGAACTCAAAAGACATGGTTTATCTTATAAAACTAAGGCGTGTTCCTGAGGCAGCATATTGATGAAATAGTATTGCCAAAAGTATGACTCTCCTAAAAAAGTCTTTTTGAAAAGTAGAAGCTGTGAGTGTCCTTTCCCTTTGTTGAACTCATTCTTGCTACTCTCAATACCAGTGTGACCTTAATATCAGTACCTGAAATCAGCTTATATAGGTAAACCTTTACAAGAATATTTCATTTTTGCCCCAGGACTAGGTCTTTGGTGTAACTTCAGACACTATAATCTAATAGAAAAGGGTGACAACAAATTTTGGGCAGCAGGAACTCACAATGCACATCATTCAAAAGCAGTTACTTACTCTGCTATGCCTAATACCACCTTGGTATAGCAGTTAGACTCTTTTACATGAAATTAAACCTAGTATTAATAAACTCAGATCTTAGCATTATTTCTAACATCATTTACATCTTTCATTTTCTTTAAAATACAATCACAGTCTTCGATTTCATTTCAATTTTTAATAAACACAATATATTTTAAAGTCACTGCTTTTTTTGGTGTCCTATGTTTATTTCTTTTGACCTACATTCTCTTTTTTGTGATAACTTCTCCAGTTTTCCAAAGACATTTTAATTCTAATTCTGTGTTATAAAGTTCTAATCAGTGTTTTTTACCTACCTTTTGTTTATGAAAATGTTCATGAAAATTTTTAAGAATAGCGTTTGTAAACAAATACTTCATATCTGTTAAAATACTTCCACATGTCTTAATATATTGATCCTGTCACCCTATTATATAAATATTATTCTCCCTGTTTGCATTTCTGGAACTGCAATGGATTATCTCTTTCTCTGTAGTTCAGTGGGAAAAAAAATGTTTCCACCTGAAAGGATTATTGTTAAGAACATCATATAACAGGATACCTTTAGCTGCCAGTGAACTTGTATTGTGGAGTACTAGAATCATGGAAACTGGGTGGAGAAAGTAGAATATCTGTTTGCCCAGCAAGATATGTCAGAGTCAGTTTTCCTGTATATAAAATGTAGGGTTTGCTTTTATTTCTTAACCATTTATTTTGCACCTGTCATTTGTTAGTTACTATTCTAGGAACTTTCTTTACATTATGCCCATTAATTCTCACTCAGTTCTCCAGAGAAATAATACTCTCATTTTTCAGAAGAGGAAGATGAGACTCAAACTAAATACCCAAATTCACAGAAAAAGTGTCAGAATCTGGATTCCATACCGGGCCAGGCAATTTTAGAGATCTCTTTTAAAAATACCCTCCCATAGGGTATCTTTAAGATACCTTCAACTCCGAGACTGTCTGTAAGAAAAAATTCTCTCTCTCTTTTTTTTTTTAAAGATTTATTTATACAAGCCCTGGGTACAGTCAGAAGCGCGGGAGGGTGAGAGAATTCACCAGAGCCAGAGCGGGGAGCAGAGCAGGCAGAAGGACTGAAGTACACTGCTGAGGAGAGCAGCGGGCGGCAGAGGTCTGCGCACCATGTGGGACCCTCGCCGGGTGGCCGGGGATCACTGCAGAGGCTGCAGGCAGCTTTGCAACCCAGCACTCAACCGCTGCGCCACCGGGGAGGCCCACTCTCTCTCTTTTTTTAAAGATTTATTTATTCATGCATACAGGAGCTGGGGTACAGGCCAGAGTTGGGGTGGGGGGTGAGAGAATTCACCAGAGACGAAATGGGGAACAGAACAGGCAGATTGACCAAAGTACACTGCTGAGGGGAGCAGCAGGTGAGCCAGGAGAGGTCTGCTGCACCATGTGGATAGCTCCTTGGCCGGCCGGGGGATCGAACTCGTGCTGCAGTGGCTGCAGACAGCATCATAAGTTGCATCTTAACCCCTTGCGCCACCCGGGAGGCTCCAGGAAAAATTCTTTTGTCTGCATTTGACTAGCAGATAAAAATAAGTGTTCTATTACAAGAAGTAATATTGCTGGAGAACAGCTCCAGCTAGAAGTTGTGTCAGGGGTCTCAGAGAAGAGAGGACGGCATTGGCCAAGTTTTCTCTCGGAGGACTGAGGGGAAGTGGAGTGAGGCAGGAGTGAGGTAGACACAGATACCTTCTTTCGTGCAAGTATCTCCTACTGAGAGTCTCAGCGGGTCTTTATTTATACCTTGAGGTAAGCGGTGAGATGACATCAGCATAAGCATCAAAGCAGAACAGAGACAATCATTACATATTTTCTCATGAATATACAAAGACCCACTTGATCTCATACTACAAAAGGACAGTTCCTTAATCTGATTGAGAAAATCAACAGGGACAATTACTCTCCTAGGTACAACTCTTTTTCTAACATAATCATTTGTCTAAGACAGTGCAATGTTCAGTAACAATCAATCATCCTGTCAAGCCTTCCTAATTTTGGAGTAGACATGAAAGTCCATTGTTATGCTGTATTACTAATATTAACCCATTCCCTAGTACTCAATGAATCTAGCCTATTATCAATTACTTCAAAATGATCTAAAGTACCTCATCAATACTGTTTTAGTTCTACAGAAATCTAACTTTTAACTAGAAATACCTAATCTCCACACAACCTGCGAACTGTTAACTTTTCTCATACACCAGGAGATGTACTGTTGCCGCAAACAGGTACCCCCCAGGTTAGGCTATGGTTTCCAAGCACAGCTGGTTCAGGGCAGCTTGTTCTCCATAGTTATCAGGGCCAGGGCATTTCTATCCTAACTATATCTTTAACAATTTTTACTTCTTTGGTGATAGTTCATGCGTAAGAACAATAAGCCAATTGTCACCTGGGTCCGAATTAGGTTTTCACATGCCAATTAATAACTAACTTACTTCAGCATTAACCAAGAACAAAGAGGAGAGCATTAGCAGGCGTTGCCATGGAGACTCCCTAGTTCAGATCTTCTTTGGGAAGTGCAAGAACTCCCTTCTTCTGGGAAGTACAACTTTCCCTCTTCCAGTGAGCACAGGAACTCCCCGCTTCTCAGGGGTCTCCCCCAATGCCCGGACCATGTCAAGAGACAGCATGGGAGGCGCAGCCTGTCGCATAATATCACAAGTGATGAGGAACAAGAGGAATTGAGTAGAATGAACAGTTCTTACAGATGCAGACACTTTCAAAGAGAAATCTAAGCAAGAAGCAGTGTACTGTAGCAGTTAAAAACATGGATTTGAAGTCAGACCGGCCTCGGTTTAAAATTTTGACTCTAACACTTAATAGATGTTTCTTCTTTCTCAGGTTATATAGATTTCCTGAGCCTCGGTTTTCTCATCTGAGAAGCATATAAGGATAATAAACCTGCCTTAGGTTGTAAAGATTAAATGAGAGGACATATATAAAGCTTGTTATGAATCTGACTCACTTAGGTGCTTAAAAAATAATGGCTCTACTTATTTATTATAAGTAGAAGAGGGCCAGGGAGTAATTGCCACTGAGAAGAACCTACACAGAAAAAAAGAGAAAATGCAGTCCAAGATTAGACAAAGAGGACAAGTTGCTCTAGACAGCTCCACCTATAGGATTCTCACTCATTTTCCCATTCCTTCTTCCCTCAATTTCTCTTTCTTCTTCTTTTCTTCCCTCTCTTTTTCCCTCTCTATTTCTCTTTCATGTCACCAAAAATCATGATGCACTTTTTTACAAGCATAGTCTCATTTCAGCCATCTGGAACATACTTTTCACCTTCCCCTTCTCTGAATGAACTTCTCTTCCTGCTCTTTACACTACACCCCCTTTTCCTGTCTCTAAGTTTCCCTCTCAAGATTTACTCTTTCTTTTCACTTCATTATCTATTTATTATCACCTCCTGAGAGGCTTTGTCCAAGTCCAGGTACACAATCTAAAGCCACTATCCTGTTATATCTTTTAAAAACTATTTAGTACTTACTAAGCATTGATGTTTTTCTTGTTCATGGTAAGGAAGTAGTTGCAGCTAGTATGTTACACTGGGTCCAGTGAGAACATAATTTTCTTCCCCACAGGCCTAGAACCTACAGCAAATCTGGAAGGGTTTTAGACCTGAACCCTGGAGGAAGCTAGGTTGAAACTTCACACTAGGATAAAAGTAGATAATGAAATCACTATGGAAACGGAAAGACCAATTAGGACTAATAGGAGCTATTCCAGTTTGTGAAGAGAGAGGTCACGTGAATAGCCTGAAAACATAAGTGCCAGTGCTGATAAAGTAGCAAATGGTTTTGGTTTTGTTTTGAAAGATTAGCAAAGGTCACAAGAGACCATGGCATTCATACTTTTGCTGGTAGAAATTTAGTGTGGCCTTCTTGAAGGGCAATTGCTGGTGTGAATTAAGAACTTGTCCTTTGAGTAATCCCACTTACAGAAATTTATCTTAGGAGATATTCAGGAATTTTTCCAAAGTGCTTTGCTTTAAAAAAGCCAAACGTTTGATTTTTTTTTTTTTTGGTTGTTACCAAAACATTCAACATAAATGAAGTGTTCCAAAATATAGAAGTTTACCCAATAATGGGGGACTATGTAGTCATCAAAAACTGTTTTACTGTTTAAAGAGTTGGGGTTTTTTTAACTTTTTTCAAAGATTATTAACTGCTGGGCCTCCCTGGTGGCACAAGGGGTTAAGTCTCAGCACTATCAAGCTATCACCAGCCACTGTGGTATGAGTTTGATCCGGCCAGGGAGGTGACCCACATGGCACAGCAGATCTCTCTTCTCTTGCCTGCTGCTCCCCTCAGCAGTGTATTTCAGTAGATCCGCCTGTTCTGCTCCCCATTCTGTCTCTCGTGAATCCTCTCACCTCCCATACTTCTGGCCTGTACCACAGTTCTTGTATGTATAAATAAATAAATCTTTTTTTAAAAAAAGATTATTAACTGCTAAAATTCTCACAAAATAATAAGTGAAAAAGCAGGAATCATAACTTCATGTAATACATTTGTAAAAATGAATATATAAATTGATACATAAATGTAGATACATACAAAAGTAAATAAAATTAACCCAATTTTTAACAGTTATATCTAGGTCATGTGAAATATCAGAGTTTGTGTGTCTTGCCATTTTACAAGTTAATGGCAATGAACATATACACTAAAAATAGGAGTTTTTCCTTCTTTTAGAGACTACCTTCTCAAACTTGATTTTTGCTGTTTGTTTTGCTGAGCAAAAGTGTGTAAAAAAAAAGTAAAAGTTGACTTTCTTACTGCTCTTAATACCCACACTTTAATAATTGTTTATACAAAAGGTAATCTGATGCATTTCAATTGTCAGAGAAAAAGATTCAGGAAGTAGAAGTCAGAAAAACACTAGACCAAAAAATGGTACTATTGCATGAGCAGTAGGAACAGGAGGACATGGGAGTTACTAAGGAGCTACCTACAGTATCTGTTGCAACTTCAGGAAAAAATGAGGACCAAATCCATTGTCCATATTTTTAGTCCATTGTTTTAGTAACAGTTTTCATAATGACCCTACCAAATTAAATGAAGAAGGTGGTGGATTCAACTGAAATCATACAGGGTCACAAGGTGTGCTGAGTCTCCTGTGTCCTGAGCAGTGCCACCTGCTCAGCAGGGAGCCCACAGAGGCTGAGAGCCAGCACCCACAAATGCAGCCCTGGGAA